ATTCCAGGTAAAATTATTTTAATTTTTTTTTTTAAAATTTAAAAACATTTGTTTCAAAAAGGTTTATTAACACAATTTGTTTTATTAGCAAATAAAAAATTATTTTACTGTGTAATATACATAATAAAAAAAATAATAAAAAATTTAATATTTTTTATAATAAATTATTTTTAATAGATAAGATTTTAATAAATATAAATATACTATCTATTAATAATCATAAAAAGGTTTTTACAAATAATGAAGTCAATTATTTAATGAAGATATTGCCATTTAAAATATAAAGCATTTATATATTATTCAAATAAAAATATTTTATTACAAAATTTTAAAATAAAATTTATTAAAGGTTTCAGGGGATTAAACTTTTTTAGTAAGTAATATTAAAAGTATATAAATATGCAAAAAGAAAAAGTAGCCTTAAAACTAATAAAATAAATTTTATTTTTAAAAAACAAACAAAATTAAATTAAACTATATTAAAAAAGATGTGTTATTATATAATCATTAAACTATAAAAATAATAAATTGTTATAGTATTTCAGATATGAAATCATCCATTATTATTGATTTTTTATGAAGAGACAATTATTATGAAGAGTATAAAAAAACGAATATTTAATTAATTCGAATTTTCTATATTTGATTTTGTAATTTTAAAATTTTTAAAAAATATTTTAAAATTATTTCATTTTAAAGAATGATTTTTATTTTCTTTTAAATATTTTCTAATTCAATATTTAAATCAACTAATTTTTATTATATATTTCATCATATTATCTATTTTTTTGTTATTTTATTTTTTTAAAAAAATTTTATTAACTAAAAAAAAGAAAAATTGATAATAGCTTTTTATATTATGTAATTTAAATAAAAGAACAAGATATATAAAAATAATTATATTTTAAAATTTATTTTTTATTAATCTTAACTTCTTAACTTTCATAAAATTAATTAATATATATATTTATAGATGCTATAAAAAATTAAATACTAGAAAATTAAAAAAATTAATATTTGACTTTTAAAGAAATTAATTATATTTAAAATTAAAAATTAATTTAACAATCGATATATTTTATATTTAAAAAATTAAATTTAAATTTTGATAGAATATTTATTTTAATTTGATCAAAAACTCTAAAATATCAATTAAGTAAAACTATATAATAAATTATATGTAATTTATATTATTATAATATAAAATATTTTATTTTAAAAATAAATAAATATTATTAATAATTTTTTTCCAAATAAACTTAAATATTACTATTTAATAAACCTTTTTATAATATATATTTTTTTTAATTTAATATCTATTGCAATGTAAATAATTTAGTCCAATATCATTTTATTATTTTCATTAAATTTAATATAAAATAAAAAAAATACAAAAAAATATATTTTCATTATTTTTTATAAAAATGGACAGTAAAAAATTTTGGCAAAAATAACTAAGTAATTTATCTAAATATAATAAATTGCCTCTTTTAGAAGGATATTTTTGTAAAAAGGGAAATTTTATCAAAAAAAAAAGATATTTTAGATTTTACGAAGATTCCTTTTTTTACTATGAAAATGATAAAAGTGAAAACCCTAAAGGATATTGCATTGCAGATTTCGATTTAAATTTTTAAATTATAAATAAAAAAGAAACAGATTTTACTTCGCCATTGAAAGGCTTTATTTTCTATAGAAATAATTAAAAAACAGAAATATATACTAAGGACGAATCTTTATTAATCATGTGGAGAGAAGTTTTATAAAAAAGAGTTAATTAAATAGGATTTCATTAATAATATAAAGCAATAAAAAAAATAGGAGTAGGAAAATTTACAAGTGTATATTTATCAGAAAAAATAGAAAATTAATAGCTTTATGCAGTTAAAGCTTTTCCTAAAAAAAGAATTTATAAATAAGAAGAAAATGGAAAAGTTTTTTTTATAAAAAAAATATTAATATATTATTTTAAACAAAAGGAATTATTAATAAATGAAATTGAGTTATTGAGAAATTTAGATCATTAAAATATTTTACATTTATATGAAGTTTTTGTAACTGATAATTCTTTATATATGGTATTAGAATTATTATAAGGGGGCTCTCTTTATTAATAAATTAAATCAAAACATAAGTTGATAAAAAATAAATATTTTCTATTTTAAATAATTTTAAAAAAGATATTAAAATGAAGAAATTAAATATATGATAAGAGGTTTATTAGAAGGTGTTGCACATATGCATTCAAAAAATATTATGCACAGAGATTTAAAACCAGAAAATATAATGTTTAGATGTAAAAATTAATTAGATTTAGTTATTGGCGATTTAGGTTTAGGAACAAAATAAAATATTGATAAATACTTATATGTTAGATGTGGTACTCCTGGATTCGTAGCTCCTGAGGTTATTAACATAACTGATTTTAACATAAAATACGATGTGGCTTGTGATATTTTTTCTCTCGGAGTTATTTTTCATATTTTGTTTTCTTTTTTAATTTTTTTATATTTATTATAATAATTATAATTAATTATTTAAAGGCTTACAGGAAAATCACCTTTTCCAGGAAAAAACTATGAAGATATTTTAAACTAAAATAGAGAAGCAAATATTATTTATTAAGGAAAAGAATACTTGAAGTTATCTTTATATGGTTTCTAAAAAAAATTAATTAATTTATAAATTAGTATTTTTTTTTAAATAAAAAAAGCCTATGATTTGCTAAAAAAAATGCTTGAAGTTAACCCTAAATTAAGAATTACAGCTAAAAAAGCGCTTTAACATGAATATTTTAATGATAAATAAAATCCTTCTGTTCATGAGATTTAAATATTCGATTAAGATTCCCCTCGACATTCACCTTAAATTTTAGTAACAAAAGGATAAAACATGGTTATAGATGCTTAGGGGTTATTTAAAGTTAGGACTAATGAAAAGTATAAAGAAACATTTTATTCTCCAAGTATTGGAAAAGATAGAAAAAAATTGTAATATACTAAGAGTTTATAACTAGAAGATAATAATGAAGAGATTTATGATGCTTACTGTTAAAAAAAATCTAATGTGATAATGAAAAATTTAAAAAATATAGATTTTTGAAATTAAAAAAAATATATAAAAAATATAAAAATTTATCATTATATAATAATAAATAATTAAATAAGCTTTTCATATTTATGAAAAAAAAATTTATAAATATTAATTTAAAATTTAAGCATTTAATATATAAATATAAATATAAATATATGTATATATATATATATACAATATTTCGAAATATTTTTTTGTTATTCTAATTATTATTTATAAATTAATAAATTTTAATTTAAATATATTAATAAAAATATATTTTAAGTCTTTTTATTAAAAATTTTATAATGGAAATTCATAAAGATGCATTAATTGATTTTTTGTTAAAAATTATAAAAAGGAATTAAAAAATATAAATTTTAACAACAATTTTTATTTGGATACACTTTAATTATTTGATTATTTTCCTTCTATATTTTCTTATTTTACACAATAATCATTAAAAATGTAAGAAGAATTGTAAATTATTTTATAGGAAGCAAATAAAAAAATAAATACAAAAGAGTTAAATGTAGAAATATAAGAAGATTTTTAAAATCAAACAGATAAAAGTTTAAATATAATATTTTAAAATATTCCTTATACAAGTTCAATTTATAAAAATTCTTTAAGCGATATAGACGAAAATGATTTAAATAGTTTTATAATTGTAAGTGGAACAGTAATCCGCACAAGTTTAAGAAAAGTTCTTTAAAATAAAAAGATTTTAAATGTACATAATGTTCTCATGTTTATAAATTAAAATCAGAACATGAAGATTATGGTAAATTTCTGACAAATTTTCACAAATGTACACATTTAGTAGAAAAAGAAACTAATCATTTTATGGCTTTTCTTTAAAAAAAAATAAATAATAATAATTAAATTAAAAATAAAAATAAAACCAATTCGAATAAAGAAAAAGAATGCTCTTCTTTCAAATATGAGCCAATTGAAGGAACAGAAACATGTATTGATTATTAAGAAATCAGAATTTAGGAGCCTTTTTAAACAATAAAACCAGGTCATATTCCCAAATCAATATGGGTCATATTAGAAGTAATTATTTTTAATTGAAAACTTATAATTCTAATTAAAAAAAGGATTAATTAGTAAACAATGTAAAAGTAGGCGACGATATAATAATATAGGGTGTTTTAATAAAAAGATGGAAGAAATATAAAAACGATATTCGCCCTGAAATAAACTTATCAATAATAGCCAACTCAATAAATACAAAGACAAAATAAAAGCCTTTAAAAGCCTAAATTAATTTATAAATCTAATCTTAATTAACGATTTAAAATTAAATAAATTTAAAAAATACATTAATAAAATCTATTTTTCCTTAAATATTCGAAAAATATGATATAAAACTAGCCATATTGCTATGTCTGATTGGTGGAGTTTCCCGAACTGAAAAAAATACATACATTCGTGGGCAATGTCACTTACTTTTAATTGGAGAACCAGGTACTGGCAAGTCTCAAATTTTAAAAGAAGCCTCCAAATTGGCACAAAGAGCAGTTTATACAACTGGAATAGCATCCACTTAAGCAGGACTAACAGTTGGATTTTGTAAAGATTAAACTACAGGAGAATGGGGAATGGAAGCTGGTGCTCTTGTTCTGGCAGATAAAGGCATATGTTGTATCGATGAATTTAATTTAGTCAAAAAAGGAGAACTAGATTCTGTACTGGAAGCTATGGAATAATAAACAATAAGCTGTTGTAAGGCAGGGATAAACCAAAAATTAAATTCTCGAACAACTATTTTGGCAGCTTGTAATCCTATTTTGAAAGGATAAAAATATGACACAAATGTCGATATAATGGAAAATACTGGGCTCTAAAGTCCACTTTTGAGCAGGTTTGATTTAATTTTTATTGTAAAGGATTTGGTTAATTATGATGCTGATTCATAAAATTGTGATTTTATTTTGAGAAGATTTTTATTAGGTGGAGAGTAGTAGAGGAAAAAAATTAAGTTTTTTATTAAAAAATATTGATCAAGATTTTAATGGATGGTCATTTGATAAAATAAAAAATTATATTTAAATTGTTTAAGATTAATTCTTTCCAGAAATCTCATTTTAAGCTTAAAATGTTATATAAGCTTATTATTAGCATTTAAGAAAAATAGAGCTTCTTCATTCCAAAACTACTATAAGAACTCTTGAATCTTTAATTAGATTATGCTAGGCTCATGCAAGAATGCTTTCAAGAGATGTAGTGAATCTTCTTGATGCTGTTAGTGTTGTAGTTTTGTAAGAATGCAGTTATTTTACAGGATTATTTCATGATTTGGATATATTGGATTATGTTTTGTTGGATGAAGAAAAATATGAAGAACTTGAGTGTTTAATTATAAATAATCTAAATTTATAATTCTGACTGTTTATGCTTTTTTAATGTTTATTTATATTATAAAATTATTTTATTTTTGATTTAAAAATATTTTTTTTATATTTTCATTTTAAAAATATAAACAAGAAAAAATAATTTTATAATAAATATAAATAATTAAATTTAAATGAAGATATTTTCAAAAAGCAGAAAAATATATATATATATATTTAACAATAAATAGTTTAACTAAATCTATGTTTTTGAAACTAAAATAATAATTTAATATTTATATTTATAATATCGTTATTATTTTATTAATTGCAAAATGCATAAAAAATGTAAATTAGATCTAATAAATTTAGATATAATTTTTTTTTATATCCATTAACGAATCAATAATCTTTAAGATTAATACACTCTAAGAAAAATTATTAAATCTAAATTAAAAATCCAAAAATAGATAATAAATCATATAATAACTTAAAATTAAAATAAAATTTTTCATATATTGAAGATAATAATAAATATTTCAAATAAATAAAAGAAAAGCCTATTTTTTTAAAAAAATAACTAAATATATAAAAAATATATAAGTTAAGCAATAAAAACTAAAAATTCTAAAAAAATGTAATAAATTTAAGCAGAATTTACAGCGTTAAAAAATAAAAAATAGTATTAATTAAAATATAATTAAAAAATATTTCGATATTATATGGATGGAAATAATAATACTTTATTTAAAAAAAATATACTCAAAAGTTTAAAATTAAGTTTTTGAGTATATTAAGATATTTCTAATTCCAAAATTATAATATTCTTGTTTACATATATATATATATATATATATATATATATATATTTATTTATATATATTCATAAATATATATTTATACTTATTTTTTATAAATTAATTTAATTATTTAAAATTATATTCAATGCAAAAAAAATCAAATTACATTTACTTAATATTTTGTTAATTTTACAATCATTAATTTTTTAATACTAACTTTCTAAATGTATAATAAAATAAGTCATATTGTCTATAACTATATGATTTATTATGCAAAATATTTTATTTATAAATTATTTAGTATCGATTAAAAATTATCTATTAAATTATCTAAAAATTATTTAAAATTTATAATATATATATATATTACATTAATTATATACTTTAATTATTATAAATTAAATTTTTAATATATAATTAAAAATTATAAATATTATTTTTGGAAAAAAGTAATTTTGATTAATAAATCTTAGAAAGTGTTTAAAATAATTTATATAAGTTTAATCACTTATCAATGTATCTATGACATAATAAGTTATTTTATAAAACATATATGAATTTTTTATGATTTTAAATAATTTTAATTTTACATAAAATACATTAAACATTTGTTTAAAATAAATTATATTTATAATTATAACTAATAAAAATTAAATTTTAATAAAATTCATATCAAGAATTTAGAATAAGCTACTATTGATATAAACAAAATAAATATAAATAATATACTAAATATATATAAATAAATTATTTCTCATTTAAATAAATTTAAAGTTTTTGTTTAAATTTAATATAAATGAAAATTCATAATTATTTTTCTTTCAAATAAAATAATTTTTGTCTTGAAAAATTTATCTTATTTATTTTTAAATGTAATTTCATATATTTTAAAAAATAAAATAATATTATATAATTTAGAATTTCTAAATAAAATAAAAAAATAACAACTTTTCTATATAATTAATTAAATCTATATATAAAAAGGCACTTTATGCTATTTTTAGGTTAACAAAATGATGAATAATAAAATATCATTAGAAAAATATAATTAAATTTAGATATTAATTAAATAATATATTAAAGTATGATTATAATACATATTTTGACAGTATTTTTTACAAAATAAATAAATAATTTAAATTGTTATATATGTATATATATATATATATATATATATATATATATATATATATATTATTTAAAAGATTATATTTAAGTTAAATAAAATTTCTTTATTATTTTTTAATGTATTTAATATTTTAGCTAAATTAAAATAATTATAATTAAATAAAATAAACATGTCAATTAATTTTAATTAAAAACTAATCCTTGAAATATATTTATATTATCTATATTTAAAGTAATAACTATTATATATATATATATTATTATTTTTTTCTTAAATAGTATTAAATTTTCAAACAACATAAATTTAAAATACAAAAAATATTAAATATATTTTATTTATTAAAAAAAAAAGAAAGATTAACTAATTAAATTATAAAAAAAAAAAATGTCAAAATTAAATGAATCTACATAATAAAATGACTAATCAACAATTATTGACTTTGGAGTTCTTGAAGAAATGGATCCGTCATTAGGTATTTTTGAAATAAGAACTTTAAATATAGCATTTTTAAATAAAAAAAATATATAAACAATCATAATTTAATTAATATTATTTTTTATCAATAAAGAGGGTGGGTTTAAAATATGTTATGATAGAGAAGTTCCAGTAGAACTAAGGTAAATATTTAAAAATAAAATAAATATTATTTTTCTAAAAATAAATATATTTATAAAAATAGAATTTAAGAAAATAATAATATTATAAATTAAGAAGTAGGAACATTAGAAACTATAAAAACAAAAATATTAATTTAAAACGAAGTAAAAGTAAATGAAAGCGTAATTAAAATAGAATTGAGTAGTGAAACTGATTTATTTTTTAATTATATATCTATGTACTATTATATTATTATGCTTTGTTTTTAAATATTTTTTAATTAATAGAATCGACTATGATATATTTAAAAGAATTAAATAAGAATAGAAGTTAAATATTGAATATGGATAATTTTTAAATATGGTAATAAAGATGTTTAATTGTTCTCATAAAGAACCTCATCAGTAACAAATATTAAAATATTTTAATATAAAAGTACTTTTTTCGAATTTTTTTTTTTTTTTTTTTGAATAATTAGTTATTTTGCTATATTTTTTATGTAAAAAGATGGATAAGCCCGTCTTGATTTCATAGAGAATATGGAATATAAATTTTGTGAAATGCTTACTATCGATTTTATCGCAACACCAGAAGATATAATAAAGCAAAATATTACATATAGATATAGTCTATTAAAAGCAAAAATGATATTTGTATAAAATAGGTTAAATGATATTTCAAGTTTAGTTAAATTAAAAAATCCTTCTCTTTTAAATTAATTACAGAAAAATAATTAGTTCAATAAAAATAATAATATTATTAATAATAATAATAATAATAATAACAATAATAATAGTAGTTTTAATAGAAGTTATTTTAATAAGAATAATAAATATGGAAAATTTTGAATTTTTATTGTTTATGTATTTTTTATATAATTTTCATTTATATTTCTTTTATTATTATTAATTAAAAAAAATAAAATATTATAAAATATAGTTTTATATTTATTTTTTTAAGTACTATTGTGATTTTTGACTTTTCAAAATAATAGTTTTATTTATATAAACCTAATTTGAATAATAATTAATATTTATTAATATATATTTATTCTTTAAAATTTTATATTTAATAAAAAAAATGCTAATACTTAAAAAATATAATTAAAAATAAATTGTTTATTAGTTTTAAATAAGTTAAAATCAATTTAAAATAAGTAATATAGAACAAATTTGTTAAACATAAAGTTATTTAATATATACTTTATAGAAAAGTATATAAATAATACAAAAAATAAATTCTTTTAATTCATAAAAAAATTATTAGTTTTATTTAACAAACTTTTTTTGTATTTAAATATGTAATATTTTAATACAATTTTCAATTAATTTTAATTAAAGCAAACAACAAAATAAAAATAATAATTTTTATTATTTATTTTTTTAAATGAATAAATAATATAAATTAAAGCATTTATTAAAAATTTTTTTGTTAAATTATATATTTTTAATTTAAAAATAAAATAAAGACAAAGAATCATTATAACAAAAAAATATATATAAAAAAATGTCTTCTAAAATAGATTAAATTCTTGAACAATAATAGCAATAAATAGCCAAAATATAAATACTAGAATAACTTCTTTAAAATTCAGAAGACTTTATATCTGAATTAAAAGATAATCATTAAAAATTTAGCGATTTTTTTAAAAGCAACAACATAATTTAAAAACTAATTCAATATATAACAATCGAATATTCAAACCCTCAAGATCTTGAAAAAGCTTACAAATTTCCCCTATTAGCCAGTGAAATATTCGATTGTTAAATCCCTTTTATTACCGAATAAATTTTTACATAAGACCAACAAATATAAATAAAAAGAAATATCTCAACAGAAACTGTTTAACCAAATATAGGCGATTTAGACGAATAAGAGGGATAAGAAAAAAACGCATATTTAGAAAATACTCAAATTAATATAATGTAAAATTAAGTAAAGTCTCCTATTCTTTGCTAAATATTTAATTTTTTATAAAATTAAAACCCAATAAATGACATTTTGGCTGGTTATTGGTCAAAATTAGTTATTTCTTTAATTAAATAAAAACCTTAGGAAACATTAACATTTATTTTTGAGTATAATTACCTTAATTAATTATTTAATCATATATAAAATACCTCAATATGTAAAATTAAAATATTTTTATATTACTTTTTAACATTATATTTTTTATTTTTTTATGTTATTTTTTTTAAAAAAATCTATAAAAAAAAAAAAAATCATATACAATTTATTTATTTTTAATTAAAAAAAAAAAAAATAGAAATAGTTTTTTAAGCAATATTTATATTAGAAAATAATACCTGCAATTTTATTAATGATTCTTATATTCTTTAAAAAAAAAATTCATTTATAAGTTAATTTATCTAAAGTCTTCAAAATATAACAGAATAAACACAAAACATGTGCCAAATAATAAGTGAAATAATTTAAAAATACTATATAATTCATAATGGTAAAGAACTTCTTGAAAACATTTGCGTTGAGTAAAATGTAATACCTCTTTTTAACCCCATATCAATTTTTTCAGGACAAATTATATGTTCTTTAGCCTAATATTATGCTTTTAATTCCAACTCATTAGCCCATTCATCTGAATATCACGATATAATGATATAAGAATATTAAAGTATGCCTTTTGTACAAAACTTAAAAGAAAATATAATCAAAATAAAACTTATATTAATAAACAATAATTAAGAAAATTTAGAAGAAGAAAGATTAGAAAATTAAGAAATTATAGGAATAAATTTGGGTCAAAAAAGGTTTAAGTGTTTAGAAATATTAAGTTAGACTTTTAGAATATCATTTCCTGTAATATAGGAGAAAATATAAGAAAGTAAAATTATTTAAACACTATTTGATGTTTTTTTAATTTCGAATGGAATAATATAATGCATTAATAAATTAGTAATATTATTCTTTACTATTTAGAATAAAAAAAAAATGATTTTATGAACTCTTAATAAAAAATTATTGAAGATATTGTTAATAATGTACTTTTAAAAACTAAAGGAATTACTTATTGTTTAAAAAAAAAAACAACTAAAGGTTATTTATCTTATTTAATAAAAATATGTGATAATTTATAAAAAATATACTAATAAAAAAATATTGAATGGGAAGAATTCTATAACAAAAACATTATTTAACATAAAAAAAATAATGAAAAAGATTTGGGAAATTTCTAATAATTTATTAATGGGCATAAAGATGAAGATGACAAAAATAAATTTAATAAAGAAAATTCGATTGAATCTTAAAACAATTAAGAAAAAAATCAAGGAGTTGTTTTCTTTTAATTAAATAGCAAATAATTAGAAGATGAATTAACATATAATAGTGATGAAGATGAAGAAAGCAATAATTTAGAAAAAAACAATAAATAAAAAAGAAAAAATGTTGAAGACAATAATAATAATAATAATAATAATAATAATAATAATAATAATAATAATAATAATAATAATAATAATAAAATTAAAGAAGAAAATATTACTTATGATTAATTTTAAAATTAACTTTTTATTTAAAATCTTGAATAAGAAAATGTAAATTATTAAATACCAATTGACTAAAAAGATGTTAATGAAAAATACGATAAAGAATGTGAATATTAAGAAGTTATTATCGATATTCAAAATGATGAGGAATATGAAGACTCCCATTAAACTGATTTTGAACAATACAATGTCGCAAAATTATGTATTTTAGATTTTATTAATAAAAATAAATATTAAGAAATAGGTTCTTAACAAAGCCTAGATAATATATAAAATGAAACTATAAATAAAAATATTGATTAAATTGTTTCTAATATATAAATATAATAAAATGAATTTAGCTTAATTCCTATTGAAAATTTAAAATATGAAATAAAAGAAGAAAACATAAACAAATTTTATTTTGACGAATAAAGCAATTACCTTTATTAACAATAATTAGTCTAATATTAAAAAAAAATATAAGATTAAGAATTCGAATAAAAAACATATACATCAATAAATGATTTATAATTATAGTAATAACAATAAATACAATAATAATAATAAAGTGAAAATTAAAATCAATAACATAATTAATAAATTGAATATTAAAAAATAGAAAATCAACAATAATAATTAGAATAATAAAATAATTAATAAGACTAATAATACGATTAATAAAAACAATATTAAGATCAACAATTAAATTAAAAATAAAAATAATTTGAATTTTAAACTTAAGAATAATAATAAATTGAAGACCAATAATAAATCTAAAGTGAAAACTAAGAATAATAAGTAATTTAAGACTAATAAATTTAGAAATAATAACATGCATAGAATCTTTATATAAACCTATAATATGAAAAAATACTAAACGAAACTAATAAGGAAATCAATTAAACTATTATTTCTTAAGTTGACTTATAAATTCCATAAAATCAATCTTTTGAACTTGATTAATGCTTAAAAATAAATTATGAAACTCTGAAATAAAACTATATATTATAATCATGTTTACAAAGCTCAAATTTACAAGGAAATTTTTTATCATAAACTTCATGTTTAAATGAAAGTAACAAATCTAAGGACTTTCTAGATTATGTCCATCCAGTAATAAATTAAGAAGATGAATTTCAATATCCATAAAATTCCTTGTCTGTTTAAGTCTAGTATCTCTAATAAGTATAAAATTACATGCATTAAAGAAATCAATAATTAATATAAGATAAATTGAATAATAATAAAGAAATGCAAATTATTTTTTTAAATTAATAAGAATATAATTATAACTAATTTTAATCTTAAATTTAAAAACTAAAAGTTGAATAATAAACGGCAATAAGTTAGTTTGAAGAAGAATCGTAAAAATAAGAGTAATTATTAATATAGTAATATTAGAATGAATAGAATATAATTAAAAAATATAGTTCTTAAGAAAAAATAATATAATTAATTTAAGAACAATAAAAATTATTTCAAAAGTAATTAACTTAAAAATAAAATGAACTTTAAGAAATTAATAACCGTTTTGCTTTATCATAAAAATAATTAATTGAAAAGCAAATTGTTGAAAGTAGTAATTTATATGTAAAATTGTAAACAATAAAAAATTAAAAAGAGAGTTTTGTTTAAAATAATAATTTAATCGAAATAAAAAAATCATATTCAGATCAAAAAGAATAAATTTAATTATAATAATAATTGAATAGTAAAAATACTTATTCATAATACAGTAGTTAGAAAAAAAAAAATCATATTATTGAAAATAATAATAGCTCTTCTTACTTCAAAGATAAAACTAAAGATGAAAGTAACAAATTATTATATAGCACTCCTTAGAAAAAAGACACTAATATATTTTCTAGTTAATAAAAATAACAATAATTATAAAATTCTTAATAAAATTAATAATAATTTAAAAAAAATTATTTTTAAAGTATTAATTAAAACAAATAATAAAATATTAATATATAGTATTTTTCTCATTAGAAAGTTCTTTTAAATGATTAAAATAAAATAATTGATAAAAATCTTATTAAAAAAACATCTTTTGATTATAAAAGTTAGTAATAAAATTCTGCTAATGATTGTTTATATAATTAGAATTCTAATAAAACTTTAAAATAATTAAAATAAAATAGTTAAGTGTAATTAATAAACCATGAAATTTAATAAATATTAAGCAAATATAAACAAAAAAATAATTGAAAATCAGTAAAAATTTAATAATATTATTAAATTTATTTTTAATAAAATAAAAAATCAATTTTTGATTTTTATTTTACAAAAAAATTATGATTTATTTGTAAATAATAATAATTTTAAATAATGAAATTAAATAATTTATATATTTATATATGAAAATTTTTACTCAAGTATTTCATTTAATTTAAATTATTTTTAAATTTTCAAGGTAAGATTTTATTTTTATAAGTTTATATCATTTTAAGAATATTTAAAAGTAATAAATATTATTATAAACAAATATTCAATGAAATTTATTTTAAGAAAAAAAAATTAAATAGACTGTTTTTAATTAAATAATTATAATTACAATGTTTGTTTTCTATTATATATAATTAAAATCTCCTTAAAGATATACTAATTTTTTTTACTAATTTTAAATAAATTAATATTAATAAAAAAAATGTCATATGATAATAAAAACGTAATTTTAAAAAACCCGGTTTAAACGTCATTGAGTATTAATTAAGCCTATGAAATATTTAAGAAATAGCAAGAAAGAGATTAAAAGGAAAAAGGGAAAGGAAAAGAAGATAATAGCAAATTATATTAATTTTTAAATTACACAGAAGCATGCTTGGGAATGAGAAAAGGCAGAGATCTTAGTATTTATATGTCAAAGTAATAAAACTAAATAGAAGTATTATTAAAATGAAAAATTTTATAAAAAACAAGATTAAATCCATAAAAGCTCTTAGATATTGTCCTTCCTATTGATGAAAATAATATTAATAGAAAAACTGAAAAGAAAAGATAAAAATATTTTAATATTATTTTATAATTATGTAATAAAATATGGGATTTAGATTTGGTATTTATTTATTAAATTTATATATATATATATATATAATTTATATATATAATTATTTTAATAAAATTAGATTGAATTGGATAAGATTAAAAAATTAATCACTGAATATGACAGATTATATAATACTACTCCCGCTAATAATAAAACAGTATTTGAAGAAGCCATTTTAAATTTCAGTAAAAATATGAATGCTTCAAATAATAATGAGAAAAGCTGAGAAAAAAATATAAATATAGTATTAAAAAAGATAATAAACTAATATGAAATAGATGTTTTTAAATAATAATTAAACATTTATTTTATTTGAAACATTATATATTTAATTTATATATAATTTTTTTATAAATCATTTTTTTAATAAATATTTTTATTTAATAATATTTTTATTCATATATTTAATACAATTTCATTTTATATATATTAAAATATACTATTAATTAAATTTATATAAATTATCTCTAAGTAAAATACAAATTAATTAAAATTGTAAAATATTTAACTTAATTTTTGCTTTATAATGTAATTAAGAACTTTTGAAATTTTCAATTATAATTTACAAATAAATATATTAATTTTTTTTTTTTTTAATAATAAATAAAAAATAGGTAACAAAATTAATAATAAATTTCAAAATTTTTATCTTTAATATTTATTAATTTATGCAAAAATTTAGCTCGCAAAAAAAAAAACTAAAATTTTAAATTCAAAAAATAAACAAACAAAAAATATTCTAAATATGGATTAACCAAATCTTTCCAAAAATCTTTAATAAATACTTCCAAAAGACCCTTTATAATGGAATATAAAAGACACTTTAAGATGGTTATAGTTTATAGGATTAGAATGTTATTAAGAATAATTCAGTAAAAAAGCTTTTTACATATACAAATAAATATTTATATATTTTTCAATTAAAGCATAAAATGCAATAGACGGTTCATGTCTTAAAGTATTAACAGAAGTAAACTTAATATAAATAGGAATAACGAACTTGACTCATTTATCTAAAATAAACATGTGGATTAAAGTAGGTTTAGATGACTATTCTGGTTTCCTAAAAAACAATTTAAATTCATTTGATCAAAGTTAGATATAAATATAATAATTAAACTAAGAAAAAATGAATGAAGAGAATATTTTAAAAAGAAAGAAAAGTTATACAAACTATTTTTTTGCAAATTTAGGATAAAACCAAAATTGGAACAGCTAACTTTAATAAATCGAAAATTAATAACAATATACTATAAAAGAAATAGGAAATATTCAAAAAGAAAAAAAAGTTGAAAAAGAAAAGGAAAAAGTTTATGAAGAACGTTATGAGTTAATATTATCTTCAACATGGGAAATTAATAAACAATTTTTTAAAATAAAAGAAAATGGTGCGAAAATAGGTAAAGCTTCTCAAAATTAAATAGTTTTATTTGATTATTAAGTTTAGAATTTTCATTCTGAAATAACTTTTGAAAAAGATCAATTTTTTATGAAAGATCTTTAATCTTAAAGTGGAACTTTTATAAAAATTAAAGATAGATTAGAGCTTTAAGAAGGGTTGTTTTTTGAATTAGGTTCTCAATAACTTTTAGTGAGTTAATTGTCAACTAAAAAATAACCTTTTGTTATATTGAATTAATTAATTAATAATCCAAATCCAAATCGTAATAATTGGATGAAAGGAGAAAGTCATAAATTATATTTTAAAGAAATAAGTGAAACATTTTAAGAAAATAATGGCAAATTTATAACTATTGGAAGAAAGGTTACTAATTAATTAAATTTTTAAAATGATTTGCTTATGTCTTTAGAACATGCTAAAATTTTTCTAATATAAGATCATTTCTTTATAGAAGATTAATCTTCTACTAACGGGTATTTTTAAAATATATATATATATATATATATATATATATATATATATATTTTTTATATGTATTTATATATTTTTTAAAATAGAACATGGATTAAATTATAAAGTGGATAAATATATAGCATTCAAGATATGAGTTAAGTGAGGATTGGTAGTACTTTTGTATATAATTGTTAAATTAAAAAATATAAAGAAGAAGTTTAATGTTAGGATAATTTATGTTCTATATGTTTTGTAAATGAAAGATAAGCTGTATTTTTACCTTGTAGACATTTTGCTTGTTGTATTTATTGTTGTAAAAGTTTAAAAAAATGTGTTATTTGTAGATTAGCAATTTAAGATTTTGTTAAAGTTTATAACGCTTGAATATATTAGATTTTAACGATTTTTTTTTTTTATTATTTTATATAATATTATTCAATTATTTATTGTATTTTGTTTGAATATTTTATACTAATTATATAAAAATAATTTAGTTTTATTAAATTCATAAATTTAAAAATAAAATAGTATAGAATAATTAACATTAATAATGGATAATTCAAATAAAGAATATAACATTTCATTATAAAAATTGAAAAATAATGATTTTCTAAAAGGATAAAGTGATTAAGAAAATTAAAATAATTATATATAGCATAAATTAAATAATGATAGTGGAATAATTTTTGTAACTAACATCAGCAATTAATAAAAAACACTTTCAGATTCTGATGATAAATAAGCAACTATTCCAAATAATTATTTTGAAGAAAAAGAAGTTTTATTATATTTTAATTTAATTTGTTATAAAAATAAACATAAAAAAAATATAGGAAGAAATACTAAATATAAAGAGTGATATAAGTAAAGAAAAAAACTAATTAATTGAATGTGAAAGTGGCATAAAAATAAGATAAATTAAAGCAGAATAAGAATTAAATAAAGAAAAAAAGCTTTTAGAGATAGAAATCAATTAAATTGTTATTTTTTTAAAAAGAAATCTTTAATAATAAGAAGACGAATAAGAATTTTTAAAATTGTAAACTAAATAAATTAAAAATGAAGATTTTTTTATTTAATAAGACTTACAAAATATGGAAACTAGAATAACTAAAATAGAAAAAACATTAGGAATACACGAAGAAATAGAAAAAACTAATGAACAAATAATATAAGAATAATTTAATAATTTCTTAAAATCAAATTAATGATTAAATTAAAAATTTGTATATTTTTTTTATTTTATTTTAATTTATTTTATTAAAAAATAAATTCTTTTGTAAAAAAAATAAAAAAAAATTATATCAATAAAAAAAATAAAAAATATTGTATTTTATTTAAACGTAAATTATTAACTTAATAATTGAAAAGAAGAAAAAAAATAATAACTATATATAATTAAAAATAATATGAACCAAAGAGATATAATTAATATTTTAAATGATATTTTTGCTAGAATTCATGATAACTCTAGAGCTTTAGAACAGATGACAACTCAAATGACTGAAATAAAATAAGAAAACGCTTGCATAAAGAACTAAATATGCCATGTAAATTCACAAAATACTTAATAAGCTTAACAATTAACTATCTAGAAAAACTCAAGTAATTCAAATTAAAAATCATAAGATAAACATAATGAGCTAGATAATATAGAAAACGAGAATTTCGAAGATATAAAAAACGAACTACAAAGAAAAAAGCAAGAAACAAATGAAAAAAATTACACATAATTCAATTAGAAGAAAAAATAGTCGAGTTAACAAGCAAGTTAGAGGAACAATAATAAAGATTATATGAAGATTCAAAAATCTAAATGTAATAAATAACAAATTCATTTTAAGAACAAATAGAAAATCTATAAAAAGAGAAAGAAACATTAGTATAAAAACAAAACAGTAATCTATAAGAGTTAGAAAATAGTGAAAAAGAAAGGTAAATATTACAAGATTAATATGCTGTTTTAAATAATGAAATGATAAATTTAAAAAAAGAAAATGAAAATTTACAAAAAGAGCTCTTTAATTCATAAAATAAAAATTAAATTTTAAACTTAAAAATTTAAAATTAAGAAATTGAAATTGAAAAATTCACTAATTAAAATCAAAACGAAAATTATAAAGATGTAGAAAACAACTAGATAAATGAAGCCCTTTAAGAAAAGCTTGATAATTTGTAAAATGACTATTATTAACTTTAAAAAAATTAAGAAATAGCTTTATAACAATAACAAGAGTTAGAAAAAGAAAAGTAAGTTATTTAAGAAAGATATTATCAAGTTTAAGATTAAATTGATGAACTCTAAAAATAGAATGAGTAATTGAAATAATAATGTCGATTTGAATTATTAAATAATGAAGATTTAAGATAATAGCTTGATTAACAAAAACTTTAAAATGAAGTTTTAAAATAACGAAACGAATAAGACAATAAACTAAATGAATAAAAAAATAATAATCAAAACGAATAAGAAAACAAACTAAATGAACAAGAAAATAATTATAATGAAGAAAATAATAATCAAAATGAATAAGAGAATAAACTAAATGAACAAGAAAATAATAATCAAAACGAATAAGAGAATAAACTAAATGAATAAGAAAATAATTATAATTACGAAAATAATAATCAAAATGAATAAAATAACATATAAGATGAAGAAAATAATAAAAATGAAATATTATACTAATGAAAAATATTTTTTTTATTAAAATAAACAATATTTTTATTATTAAAAAAAAATTAAAATAAAATTTATAAATTTAAAAATAAAATAAAAGAATTTAATCACAATTATAGCTATTTAATGTTAATTCTTTTGTGCAAAAATTCATTAGCTTTCGAAAGAATAGTATTAATTTTAATAATGGAAGAATCTGCGTATCTATTTTACTCCTATTATTTAATAAAGTTAAGTATATTGTTCCACAAGCAAAAAGCCTATTAAATTTCTTACTTAAAATACGGAAAGTTATCATTTTTTTCTAAATCTTCAATTTTAATTTGCCCTTATAAAAGCAATATCATTACAATACCCATAGCACAATTATAATTTTTTCTAAAAGGTAAAAACGGTTTACATTCTAAAATCGGCTTCATATTTTAGGTATTACCTAAATGAATATACATACATAATAAATAAGCATCATATTAATTTCTAAGCATTTATTATACCGCGTATATAATTTTAATAAACTAAGTCAATTCAAAATCAAAATGTTCTTCTTAATTTAAATCTTTGTAAGAAAGTTCTACTAAACAAAATATTCTTGAAATTACAAAAATACAGACTTTATCTTCTCCTTCCCAAATCATTTTTCTTTAGATTATATTCTAATTATTTTCATTTTAAACTTTTGCATTGATGAAATTATTCTCAAAAGTTAAATGAGAGAAAAAAATTCCGACCAAATTTTCATTTTATATAATATTTGAAAAAATAATAAGTTGCTCCGAAAACTCGACATCACATCTACACATGTATTTAGCCAAATGGGTTATTTTAAACTAATTCATATATATAAGTTCTAATTAATTAAAAAAATTTAAAGAACACATAGTAAATATCTATATAGGACTTAAACACTCCTTTATGTTTCTTTTATTCATTATTTCTTCTTGCTATTGTTATAAATTATAATTTTACTATTATTATTATTATAATAATATATTATTATTGTTTCTAAAGTTAGGAGAATCACCATTATTATTGGCTTTTATGTTTTCAGAGTTTTTCCTGCTTGAGTTTTTAGAAGAGTATGATAATTTTTTCACATTATCGATGTATTTATGTAATATTTTTATTAATAAAAAATCTTCTTTATTTCCTTTATCAATTTCAAATACAAAATCAGCAGTAAAAAGTTCACAAGAAACCGGAATATTGAAAGGGATAGGCCTGTATTCTTCGTCTTCTTTAATAAGATACAGAATCTCATATTTTTGCATCAATTCTGGTATATATTATTTCACAAAATAGGTGATTTTAGAATAATTCTAGCAAATTTGATTTAAAAGTAATTTTATTTATTTTGAATCATATTAATTAGGTAAATACTTATATTTTTGATAAGAAAAAATATTAAAAATATCATTCGAAATTAAATCAAAAGCAAAAAACTAATATAAAATTGCTGGTAATATACTTCCAAAATGCTTTTTCATTCTATCTTCCATACATTATCTTTCCACAGTTTATTTATAAAATTATAAATTACAAGAAATATTAAAAACAGGAACATTCTCAATTTTAAAAATCAACTCCTTATATAAAGGTTAATTAATACTAATATCACGAAAGTTTTTATATTTTTATATATCATTAAATTACTAAACAACATCTCTTATTTAACTTTTCTTTTATTATTATTCATTTAGCAAAAGCTACCTGGCTGAATGGTGTGTTAAATTTAAAGAAGCTAAAAATTTTGATAAATGAATCCATTCAAATCGCTCGTTTTCTAAATCTACGTCAATTATTACATAGTTATTCGTTTCCGAATAGTATTTTATAATATCTAAATCACTCAATATAGCACTTATAAAATTACTTTTAAAGTAATAAATTAATTAAGCATGCTCTGAATATGGAGAATTGATAAATTATATGTTTTAATTTACTAAGATTTTCTTTAATATAGTAATTCTTTAATTGAAGCGAACAGATAACTTATTTTCGAATACAATAACTTTCTAAATATTATATTTGCACATTAGTTATTTAAACTTTGATACTCGCTATTCTAATATTCTTTTGCTTATCCCTATACTATGGTCTTGATATTTATTATGGTCTTAGTATTTATCTACATTCTCAAACATCTTTTTAGTAAAAAATGTACCACTTATACCTATTGTACTGTCTTTGAGATTTTATAGATCTTCACTATAAATTTCGTTGTTTATTTTGGCTACTTCTTTAAACTTTTCTTTTAACATTTTTTATATAATTTTTGTCTTTAACTTAACAAAAAATTTATATTTATTTATATTTTTAAAAATATTTTTTTTTTAAATTTTTATAGCATTTATTATAAAAATATATAAAATAATTAATATTTTTAAAGCTTTCTAATAAAAATATTTTTATTCTTTTTAAAAAGTATTTAAGTACTAATTATTTTAATTATATAATATAATTGAATGCTTTATTTATGAAATTAAAAAACACTTTTTAAAATTATATCTAAAAAAATACTTATACATTAAAAGGTTAAAAAAATAAATATTTATTATTAAAAGTAATATTTGAGAGTAAAAGCAACCAATAAATTAAAATAAGAATAAACTTGAATAAAATAAATAAATAATCCTCTTATTAAAATAATAAATTTTAATATATTTAATTACAAAAAATATTTAATATATTTATATAAATATATATATTTTTTTTTAATTAATTATTTTATCCTTCTATTCTATTTCAAGATTTATAAATTTTTACAATATCTTATACAGGGAATCTACATATAATACAATTTTTTAAGTTTTTACTACATTTCAAGCAAGAAGCATTATGTCTACAAGGGATACAAATAACATCCCTATCTTCTTCACAACAAATAATACATAAATTTTATTAATCAATTTTATCAATTACTTATTTTTAAGAATTAATTTAACAACTATATTAAAAATCATTTCCTATTCTGATTTATGTTTCGTTCTATAATTAAAAATATTCACTTTCTTTTCCTTCATCACTTAATCTTAACCATATTCTATTTTTATTTTTATTATAAAAAATTTCAAATAAAATAATAAATACCCATTAGTAGAGCAATTATCTTCTAATAAGAATTTTCCTTAAATTAAAAAAATTTTAGCATGAACATTGGATAAATGGGAATCTTCTTCAAAACAAATTTTATTAGATATTTTTCTTCCTATTGAAAAGTATTAACCTTATTCAATCATTTCATAACAAAACTACAAATTATATAAATTCCCAGGTTTTTCTAAAATACTTATTTATAAAATATTTTCTTAAATACTTTAAATATAATATTAAAAAGATCCCATTTCAATGATGTTTCCCTATTCTAATACAATTCTATCTTTAATTCGAGTAAAAGTACCAGTTATAGAGCCTAAATCTTTAATATAAAAATTTATACTAATAAAAGAAATCTAAGCATGAAAACGAGAAACTGTTTCATTTAAAATAACTATACCATTTGCATTATTTCTTCCTATTTTTGCTCCTTCCTCTTTTATAGAATAAAAACTTACTTAAACACTATCTATAGGTTTCAATATTAATTCGTATTATTCGTTTTTTTTTTATTCTTCAGGCTGAATTTATTATTTAATTTATTAGTTTTCTCTTGTACAATCATCATTATTTGAAGAATGATCACTAAAATTTTTTTCACTTTCAATTAGTTAATGTTACATTTAGCTTATTAGATTTTATTCATCATTAATATTATTTAGATATAATTTTTCATAAAACAATATTTCATTTTAATCTTAATCTTATGGATATTTTAGACCTTTAAGAAATAAAGAATATTATAACAAACCTAGTTTCAACCAATTTTTTATTTTTTTTTAATGTATTTAATTATATATTCCTAACAATTTTAAGTCATATTTATCTAATTATTATAAGCAAGAGCCATCTACTGTTTATTAAACTTTTTATTTTTATTTTAAATATATTTTTATATTTTACTAAATTAATCAGAATATTGTTGTAAACCAATAAATTACAACCATTTTAAAGTTTCGTCTGTATTCCAAAATAAAGGATCTTTTGGGAGGATAGTCTTGAGTTTATCAAAGTCCATTTTTTATGAATTTTTTAAGGCTGTATGTATTTATTCTATTTTTCTTTATATTATATTTAACTATATTATTTGTTTTTCATATATAAGTTAAACAACATTAATAATTTGTTTTTTACTTTTTTTTGAAAAATCAATCAAAGTAAAAATATAGTTTTCTCTAAAAATATACTTTTAATAATTATTATTAAATTTTAAAAATAAGTATTTATAATAATAAAAAAAATATTTTTTTATAATTAAAATAAAAAAATATATTCAATATAAAAAATTTATTTAAATATAGATATATAGTTTTATTATAAAAAAATATGCATTTTAATAAAAAAATATATAAATATATCAAAATTTTTTAAAAAAATATTAATATAAATACATATATTTTTAAATAAAAAAAATAAATAAGAATATTTTTTTTTTAAAAAAAAATTAACTTCATACTTCATAAAAATCAGAGCAAATAAAATTAAATAGAAAAAATGAAACTAATATCAAAGATATTTTTTATCTGCTTCCTTTAGTTCATTTTCTCCTTGTAATCTAAAGACTTCTTTAACTTTAGCCACATTTTCCTCAACTCCCATCAAAGATTCTTCATTGTAGATTTTTCTGGAAGTTTCTTGCATACTTTTAACAGCCGATCTCATATTATGATTAGCCCAAATAACCATACTAACTCCCCAATTTCTAAATTCACTAGTAGGAGTTTTATAATAATTAGTCGGCACAATAATTACTGGTGACTTGTTTTTCCATTCATTCATAAAAGCCTTAATCTCAGATGGATTATTTAATTTTGAATGCATCAAAATGGCATCAGCACCAGCTTCTTTATAAGCAGTAGCTCTTTTTAAAGCTTCCTCTAAGCCCCAACCAGCTATAAAAGCCTCTACTCTAGCCACAACTTAAAAATCAGGATCTTTTTATGTATCTTTACATGCTCTAATTTTATTACTGAATTCATGAATGTCAGCTAATTCTTATTTTCCACTACCTTCTAATAAGCTGTTTCTTTTGGGGAAAACCTTATCTTCTAAACAAACTCCTGCTATTTATCTTTATTCTAATTTCGAGACTAAACGACGGGCATTGTTATAATTTCCATATCCAGTATCTCCATCTAATAATATGGGAATTTTAGTCCTTTCACTCATAAATTCTAATACATCTAAAACTTAAGTATATGATGCTTCATTAGAATCTCTTACTCCCATCGCAGCTGATATTGATAACCCGGAACCCCAAATTCCTTTGAATCCAGCTTCTTCTACTATTACGGCTGATAATCCATTATGGGCTTCCATTATAAATGATAAGTCTTTAGAATGTAAAAGATTTTTTAGTTGAGTGGTTTTTTTAGGATGGGATTAAGAAAAAAAATATTTTAGAGAGTTAGTAAGCATTATTTTTTAGATATTTTTATATTAATTAATTAATTTGTTTTTTGATTTTATTATATGTAAATAGTTTTTATTCTTTGAAATAATTTATTTATTAATTTTTAAATAAAATTAAAAATAAAATAATTTTAAAAATAAATAAATTGAAAATTAATAAATATATAATACACGTAAATAATATATTAGTATTTTTTTTTATACATTTAACATTTTTTAAAAAAAAAGTCAATATCTTTTCAGCAACAATTAGATCTTTATTTAATATCGAAATTTATCCTTGCAATTTATTTATATTTTTATTAAGAATATTTTTAGTAAATATAATAACAGAAATTGTTTGTATGAACCTTTAATAAAAACTCATAAATACACTAAGCACAATCATACAAATCTTCCTATTGAAATCCACTTATTAAAGTCAGGTTTTAATTCCAATATAAATTCCCTTAAGGATTTTTAAGTTTTTCACACAAAAGAATTATACTGGCTGAAATTTTGCTATTTTCCCATTTATTTAGCTCTAAATTAATTAAACTGAGATCTAATAAATATTCAGTTAAAGCTTTCTAATAACTATCAATATTAATTTAAGAAAGGAAAGTTTCTACAAATCCAACTCTGGTAGGTGTGAGAATTTGAAAATTTAACTTACATAAAATAAAGGCTTCTTATTTTTTAATTAAATTGACATTTTATAAATTTGAAACTTTAGCAAAATCTCTAAGGGAAGGAGGATAAATCTCTTAATATTTAGCAGCTATATATATACATGTGATTGCTATTACACTCATTTTCTCATCTGCATCAATATTTTTTGAATCTAAATATCTTATGAATAAATTAGTTCCTAAATGTAGAGTTTCTGATTATAATTTTAATTCAAAGCTTATATATATTATTAAATTCAATCCACTTTATTTTTAAAGCATTTCTCCTTCATTTTAGACAATTTGTTATTTATAATAAATCTAATATTTTTTTAAAAATAAATATTTATCTTTAATTTTTTTTTTTTTACTTATTATTTTTCTAAATATTATTATATTTAATATCCGTAATCTTTGATAAATTAATTTTTATTTTAAAATAGTTTCTTTTATATAACTTCTTCCTCATTTATTTATGTAATAGAATTCGAAGTTGCAGAACAATCTAAAAATTCATATTCATCAAACGAGTTTATTTAATCAAAATGAATAGATTAATCTCCTAAAATGTTTATTTCATCACTTTTAGTACTCATATTGGAATATCTGTTTGAGCATAAATTGCTTAGGTTAGTTGATTACAAATTTTTAGAATCTGTATTTTTAAAGTAGAAATTCTTTACATTATTTTTTGGTGATTTTTATGGCTCTACTTCAAAAAATTATTATTATTTTTAAAATGTGAATTAAGTTTGCATATTAATATTTTTTTATTATTATTATTTGTGTTTATTATTTTCTAATTTTTTTATTTTTATTATGAAATTTATTTATTTTTTAATTAAAAGTAAAATAATAATTTAATTTAGATACTTTTTAAATTTTAAATATTGTGTTTTTTATTTTTTTAAAAATTATATTTATTTCGAATAATAATTTAAGATAAAATATAAATTTAAATCTTTCTTTATTATTTTTTTATAAATTAGAAATATTTTAAATAATTTTATGTTTATGTAATTTCATATATGATTATATTTTTTTTAGTTTTTATTCATCTTAATTAATAATTTGAATATTTTTTTATTTTTATTTTTTTCTATTATAAATACATTTAATTTTATTTTTTTAATTATTTATTTAAATTCAAATCTAAAAAATGCGCTTTACTTATATTTTAAAAAAACAATTAATAATTAATTTTTATTATTGAATATATTATTTTTAAAAAAAATACATTAAAAAAAATTAATTACTTTAAAAAGTATTCAAGAATTTTAATTAAAATATATTTTTTTAACTAAAATAATATTTTTATATTAATTTTTAATATAATTATTTCTCATATATTATATATAAATTATATTTAAAATAATTTTTATATTTATTTATTTAAAATTCAAATTCTTTATTTAAAATTTAATTATTTAATTTAAAAGATAGCTAATTTTATAAATTAATCCTAAATTAATACACAATTATTTAAAATAAACTAGTTTTATATAAAAAACTAAAAAAATTCATTCAAACTAGTTTTTAAATATTGATTTTATTTCATAAATTAAATTATTAATTATTTGATAGAGTATATTATATTTTTAAGAATTTAAAAAAAACTTATTTATAAATATAAATACTAAATAAATTTCAAATAAAAATTAAAAATTAATATTCTTTAAAATTAATAAATTTTATTATTTTATAATAAAACTCTTTAAATTTAAAAAATTAAGTTAATATTTTATTTATAAGAATTAATTTTTTTATTTAAAGATCAGTAGATTTATATTATAAGTAAAAATAATATATGTATTAATCAAAATTTTATTTAAATTAAAATTCATATTCCTTTTTTATTGAATGATTTCCTCAGTTTAGTGTAGTTTGTTGTATTTAATGTTTTATTAATAGTTTTCAAAAACTACGAAATTTTAATAAAATCAGATTTCATATCATTGTTTTATCTCCATAAATTTTTCAGGTAACTAAAATATTTTATATAAATTTTTAAAAAATATTATTTGCTTTTTATTTTTTAAATACCATCAACATTAAAAGAAACCTAAAAATCAAAAAAACTCAATTTTTATAAAGATAATTACTTATTTATATACTTTTTAAAATCGGTAACACTTGTAATTTATATATTTTAAAGTATTCCTTTTAATATACTGAATAATATTATCAAATAAAATATATTATAATTAATTTTCTAAATACATTCTTAAAACTATATATTATTTATTATTTTATTATATCAATTTTCATATATATATATATATAATTTTACTCAATTTCAATATTTCTACCTTCAATAAAAACTATTTTCAATTTTTTTTTTTTTGTAATTTCATTTTTCTAATATCTTTTACACTCTGCATTTCTTTTTATCATTAATCATTAATTTATTTTAAAGCTTCTTCATCTTAAGTAAGTTTTTTTGATTATTTGAAACAAATTTTTTAAGAAAGAGTTAAAAGTTAGTTTATATAATTGTCTTTTTCTTATTATTTTATTTTTTATATGATTTCATAATTCTTATCATTTAAATTTTTTCTATTAGGAATAAATAAAAAACCATTTTATAATAAAGAAATTTATTAATATTTTTAACAAAAATATATTTTATTTACTAAATTTATTTCCTTTAAAATGTAAATATTTTAAGATTTTCTATTTACTCTTATAAATTATTATAAAAAAAAAAAACTCTAGTTTATAAGGATTTCTATATATATATTGTCGATTTTCGAAATTTAATAAATTTTAATTAATTAGATTTTCTTAGAAGTCAAAATCTTCAATCCTTTAAATTAAATTATTTGCCAATTTTAAAGTTTAATAATTATTTGACCTATATATTTTAATAAAACTTCCATTTTGTTAAATTTTGTAATGAATAAATTTCAATAATATTATTTTTATACAATAATTGCTTTCTAAGTTAATTTAAATTTTATAAACAGCTTATTTCTTTTATTTAATTATTAGATAAATTTAAATAAAGTAATATTCAAAAGCCTACTAAATTTTAAATTTAATGCATTAATATTTTATCTTAAAAAATTAAAATTTTTAGCTTCTCCTCTTCACCTAACTAATTTATTTTCAAGTTCATATTGCTGTCTATAACAAACCAAAACTCCTTAAATTTAAGGTATTTCACAAAATATAATGTTTCTGTAATATATTAGTAAATATACATATTAATTTTTTAATAAATAATGATATATTTCATTCTTATCATATTATATTAATACTTGTAATTGCATATTTAATCATTAATTTTTATATTAAATGATTTTTTGACATATTTTAACATATAATCTTTTAAGTTTTTAATTAATACTTTAATTATAAAAAATAAAATATTTTTTTTTATTTATAAATTTATATCTAAATATATTAATATTTTATTTTTTACTTTTTAAATCTTATAATAATTTTAAGAAGCTAATTATTTATATTTTTTTATATAAATTTTTAAACTTAATAATTGATTTATATTTTAAAATTATATTACTTTAAATTACTAATTTTTTAATTTATGCATACAATGCGATACTATTATTTTATAAGAGACAAATAATTTTAATTATGTTTTATGAAGATATATTTTTATTTATACTTTTCCTATTTTTATGTATTATTTAGTAATATTTTGTTTTCTTTTTTATTTAAAAAAAAACATATATTTTTTTATAAAATAAAATATAAATTATATTTTTTATCATTTAATCCTTTATTATTATAAATTAATATATTGCATTTTTTATTATATTATATTTTTTCTTTACTTTTTTATAATAAATATTGTTTATTTATTTATTATTTGCTTTTACAATTTTTTTTTATAAATATTAAAAATCTTATATATATATATATTATTTACTTATGATATTATATTCAAGTTAATTATATTTTTATCTTTAAATAAACAAATAATATTTATTTATATAAATAATGTATATTAAAAATTATAAGTTACATTCTATGTTATTATATAGTTGTTAAATTAATAAGTATATGTTTGACAATATAAATAAATATATATTTATATAAATAAACTAGAAATAACTTTACTATGTTTAAATATATTTGTTAATAAATAAAGTAGATTTTATTTATAAGTTTTATTTAATTAAAAATTAATAAATAAATTAAATTAAAAATAAATTATAAAAAATTATTTTAATTTAAATAAAATATGTAAAATATTAAAATTGTTGATTTTTATAAATACATTTAAAATAAAAATATTTAATTTTTATATTTATAATTTTAAATTTGCCATTTCAATAAAGCTTTTATAAGTTTTTCATTTATACTTTTATATTTTGATTTAAATATTTATAAATTTTATCTTTAAATTTTATTCATTATTATAGTATTTATTTCTTGTATATAAATTTTAAATTAATTAGCCGGGAATATTTACAATTGATTAAAAAAACTACAAAAACACCTTTTATTAAAAATAAAAAAATTAAAAACAACAAACAAAGCTTGAATAATTATTAAAAAAAAAAAATATCATAATAAAAAAAATGGATATATTTACAAGAAATATTTATAAAATATACTAATAAATGAACAAAGTAAAAGTATAAGAAACTAAAAAAACTATAAAAAAAGCTAAATAAGAAGAAAAATTAAAACTGTAGGGCAAATCATTTTCAACAATCCCTTTGAAATAAAAGCAGCAAACAAATTTAAATGTAATGAACAATTTTTACCTTTCCCCTCCAAAAATGACCTAAACAAGTAAATTAAGAAACAAAAGTGATTTAATAAATAAAGATGTAATAAAAAATAATAAAACTTGCAAAAAATTAAGTCTAAAAGATATAAATGATATAAAGGAATAATTTGAAAAATTTAGAACTAATAAAAACTAAATGAAGTCCCTTTAATTTATAAAAAATTTAGAAAAAATCGATTCTTAGAAATTAAAAACATGCAGCAGTAGTAAAGAACCTAGTAAAAGATATGAAATTGACAATTCTATGAAAAAATAATAACATTTGAATGAAAAAATTAAAAAACTTATAGATAGTAAAATAATTTAATCTTCTGATGAATTTGCTCATGAATAATAAAAAGAAAATAAATAATTCTAAGAAGGAAAAAATAATAATATTTCATCTATCTTTTTTCAAAAATTATAAGTAAATTCTAAAAATTAGTTCTATTTAGAAGATTATATTGTTGATATTGTATAAAAATATAAAAATCTTCAAATTTAATATCATAATTAAGCTTTAAAAAATAAAATCTTTTAGTATAAAATAAAAAATTTGGAAAAAGTCAACTAAAAATAAAAACAATAAATTCAATAATTATAAAATAATAATGCAAAAAAAACTACAATAATACAGTATATATTTATATATTATTTTTATATTTATCATTAAAATAAAAATAGGACAGAAAACAGCACTATTGAGTGTACATAAATTACATAAAATACAATAAATTTTCTACAATAATCTGAAATTTCTTAATAATCATTATCTGATAATGAAGCTATTTAAAAAAAGCACATAAGTTAGTATTTTACTAGCTTTATTCAAAGTTAATAATAAAAGCCTTACTTAATTTAATTCAAAGTAAATTTTTATATATTTTTTAAAAAATATTTAAATATAAATAGAATAAAAATAATTAAATTTATGATAATACTTTAGTAAAAAAAAAAATAATTAATGATTACTATTTTGTAAAATAAAATTAAGCAAATTGTGTAAATTGAAGAGAAAAGCAAAAAATAAAACTTCTTAATATTAGATTTAATATTTTTATTTACATATAAATTAATTATATTTTATAATTTTTTTAAAATAATGAATTAATAATAATTATAATCAAATAAAAAATAAAAAATTATAAATTAATAACAATATATATTTTTTTTAAATAAATGTGTATATATATATAATTGATTTTGTTATAAATATTAATATTTTTATTGAATCTTTAATTTTTTAAAATAAAGTTATTCTTTTAATTAATTAAATTATTATAAAAATAAAACATATGCTTATGGATAATTTCATTTTTGTTTCGGCTTTTTCACAATTATGAACATTTTAATTTTTATTTAGTTATATATTTATTATTGTAATAATCTTGATTTAAAAACTTTTGATTGCTATCTATCGAATTTGCTTTATAATTTAGATTTATCGATAATAATTATGAATTTATTTATAATTTTTTTTCTTTTATTCAAAAATAAATGAACTTAATTATAAATAAACATCTATGGTTTTTTAGATTTTTGTTCAGTTTCATATTATCTATTATTTTAAACTATTGTATATAATAAGAATTTATGATATTCTTATGCATTTTAATTAAAGTATTTCTTTAATATTTTTGATTTGTTAAGCTATTTAAATAATTCTATTTATTTATTTAATTGAAAATTACTTAATTTAAAAATCTTGCTTGAGATATAAAAAAATAGAATTATACAATTATTTATTTTTACATATTTGAGTTTAACTATTTTCTTTTTCATTAATAATGGCTTTAAGTTTAATTATCGACTTATTTTTTCCTTTATATATATTAAATACATAGTATAACCAGCTTTAATTTATTATTATTTTAATTTTATTTTTATTAATTTCTATTTAGAAATTCAAAAAGCTTTTTATACACTGATTTTATTGTTTTTAATATTTTTTTATTTAATTTAATGTCCGATTACTTTATTTTAAACTAATTTATTAAGTAAAGATAGTTCTTTATAATTATTAAATTAAATATTGGTGATATGATACTATCTCATTTTTTTATTATTGTTTTAGAATAAAGAATTAAAAAAAATATAAAAATAATTTGATTGATTATATACTAAAAGTTAAAAATAAATTAGTTAAATAAAAACTAAACAACTTTTAAATATATAATAAAATATAATTATTTTTAAATTGTTTTATTTAAAAAAAAAAATTAATAAATACAAAATAAAAATTAAAAAATCATTTAGCATCTTCATAATAATCGTATTCTTCTAATTCTAAAGAATCTACAGATTAATCATAACCTTAACTTATAGAAGCACCGATTGTATCTTCAATACTACTTGCAAGAGGATTATGCTTTTTAGTTTTATTTTAGTTTACGTTTAATTATTAAATTTAGTTTTCTTCTTCAGATAGTTCTTCAAATTTGATAGATTCTTCGATTTCATTTTAATTATTATTAGATATATTATGATCAAATTTATTAAATAAACTATTTTTTTCTTTTAAATTATTATTATTATTATTATTATTATTATTATTATTATTATTATTATTTTTATTATAATTATTATAATTATTATGATTGCTTTTATTTTTATTTGTACTAGTATTATTTTTAACTTCAATATCGCATTTATTTTATATTATTTATAATAAAAGTGGTTTTTGTTCATTTTTATTTAATTTAAATTTATTTATTAAATCATTTCTATTTATTTCTTAATTATTATTAGTTTCATTCTAAAATATATTTAAAGAATATTCCAAGTTATAAAACTATAATAATTCTTTTATTAAAGTAAAAATTGTTTTTTCTTCTTCTGAAATATTTTAAAGTTTTTAATTTATTGTATATAATTTTGATTAATTTAATAGTTAAACCTTTTATGAAGTTTAATATTTTTTATTTTTATTATTTTCTTAATTTTGATTTAAAGGAGGATTATCAATTGTATTATAAACTATAGTTCGTATTTACGCTTTCACATTGCTTAATTATCCTGATTATTCTAATGTTTTAAATAATAAATCTTTTAATTCTTCTAATTATTTATCTGACATAAAATTTTTAAAATATAAAAAAATAAGTTTTTTTATTTAAATAATTATAAATATATATATATAGATGTATAAATAATATATATTTATATAATTATATATATATTTTTTTACTATAAATTTTTATAATCTTTATCAATTTTTTATTTTTTAATATTAACTTTTATGTTTACTTAAATTTTTATATTTAAAATTTTTCTATAAAATATCTTTAATACATAAATCTCATCTATCATTTTATATAATAAATATTTTGTTACGATTAATATAAACATATTACATTATATATTAAATTTAATTAATAACACATATAATTATTATTTAATTTATAAAAGTTTAAAATTAATTTAATTTTTAATTAAATATAATAATAAAATTATATGAATTAAATTAAAATAGTTTTATTTAAAAATAAAAAACAAATTAAAGCAAAATAAAATTTGCTGTTAAAAATAAAAAATATACATATCAAATATTTTTTATCTATAATAATTACTAAATTGAACTAAAAAAGTAACAAATGAATGTTCTTAAAACTGAACCCGTTAAAATTTTATAAGGACATAGAGTTTTAGTCCCAGAATACGACAAACTAACAAAAATGGAAAAGTTATTAACAAAAATAGAATCTGATATTTAAAAAAGAACAAAAGATTAAGATAAAATAGCATTTTTAGATACAATGAAAAAGGTTTATTTAAAGAAAAAAATAAAATATTTTTATTTTAAACAAACATATATTTTAAAAAAGACACATTAATTATATCAGTTAATATTAGGAGAAATGCACTATTAATTAGGAATATTAAAATTAGATAAATTTACATCAATAATTTAAAAAATATTTAGTGGATAAAATATATTAATGAATGTAATATTATAAATGAAAACAAATATGGAATTTGACGTAGACTAGTTATTATATAATCTAAAAAACTTAAAAACCAGATCTGTATAATAAAAGCGTAATAATTCATTTGATGTATCAAAAACTAGCGAATAAAATATAAGTATTCCTAGTTATGATAAAAGAGACTAATATAAACCTTCTTTAATGAAAAGATTAAACAAATAAGAGTCAAGACTTTTATAGAATTATGAAAGAATTATCACTATGGAGAAAGGTACAGATACTGAAGAAGATATGATTAATGCTAAAAGATCAAGTAATATTATACAAAAATAAAACGAAATAGAATAAATTAAAAACGAATTGATTGAGGCTAATAATGATGTTAGCGAATTTCTTAATAATAAAAAAAATCTTAATTTTGGATTAGAACCTTCGAATGCTGAAAAATCTTTGAGATCAGTTTTGAAAGATTTATCTTAAAAAAAAAATATGCTACTTAATGTATTATTATTTTTTTTTTAAAAAAAAAATCTTTTTTAGTGGAATAGGAAGGATTAGATTTATTAGGAAAATAATCTGTGCTTGATAATGGATATGAAAGAATTGAAAACGATTTAATTACAGGATTAAAAGATGTTGCAAATAGAGCTAAGAATGCACAAGAAAACAATAAATATAAGTAAAATTTTAAAAATAGTTAAGATAAAAGAGATATTGAATTTTAAGAAAACTCAACATAAGTAATTTTATTTTATTTTGTTAAAATATATATATAAAATAGACAGAGAGAGATATTTTAAAAGAAAGGTTTGAAAAGTTACAATTTGAAATAAAATAAAAAGAGAAGAAACTTTAAGATTTAGAAAAGAAATTTAAAGATATAAAAAACAATAATGAATAATTAGAAATAAAATTCAAAGGAGTAAATGGAAAACTAGAAGAAATGCTATTTGCATAAAAAAAGAGAGATGATGAGGAAAAAGCAAGGAGAAAAAATACCTAAAAAGACATAGTATTCAGTCAAGTTGACAAAGATAAAATAAAAAAAATAATAGAAGAAAATATAAAACTCAAATTAAAAATGAAAGAATTAGTCGAAGAAATAAAAAAAATAGAAGACGAAAATAAACATAATTTAAATTCATTTAGAAAATTCATAATGTCTTCCAATCTTACTGATGAATAAAAAAGATTCATTTTGGGAAAAGCCGAAGATCTTTTTAAACTAGAATACTCTAAAAGATTTAACATAAAAGAAATAGAATAAATGGCTAAAATAGACCTAGAAATGCTTAAAGATCCTTTAGTTAAAGACTGTGTGGGTGATGGATTATTGTTGGTTAAAAATATTAAAGCAGAAGAAAAGGCTAAATAGTAAGAAAGACTTAATAATCCTAATTATGATTCTGAATTTGATCCTGAGCTTTTAGAAGAAGGTGAAAAATTAATTGTAAGAAAAGTAAAAAGAAAAGTTAAAAGATTAAATTCTAAAGGTGAATGGATTGAAGATGAAATCGAAATTGAAGAAGAAGTTATTATTGACACTAAAACTGGAAAAGAACTTAGATCTAGAGATAAAGCTCCTTAATCAGGATTAGTTGTTGATCCTGCAATTGTTGATTTCGTAAATAAGCATGGAGGGTTGGCTATTGGAGGTAGTAAATTTGTTTTACCTCAAAAACCAGGAAGACCAATTGATAAAGATGGAAAACCAGTAAATGAAGGAGAATGGTTTATTGACGAAAAAGGGAATAGAGTAAAAATGGTAAAAAATGCTAATGGAGATGAAGAATATGAAATCGAAGAAAGTAAATTAATTTATCTGTTTTTTTTTATACATATATTTTTTATTTTAAGAATATATTGATGAGAATGGTTAAGAAAAAGTTAGAGTTAAAAAAATGAAAGTTAAAAAAGATTAAGTAATTTTTACTTTTTTATATTTTATCAAATTATATATAATTTAGAATGGAAACGAATATACAGAAGAATAATTTATTGATCCTAATACAGGAAAGAAAGTAAATGTTGTAAAAAAAGTTATTAAAGATAAAGATGGAAATGTAAATTTAATTAACAAAAAATAGTAAAATATGAATTTATTAAAAAAAAACAAAAAGGATATAATAGAAGAAGTGACAACAGATGAAAATGGAAACAAAGTAGTAAAAAGAATAAAAGTTCAAAAAGATAAAGATGGAAACGATGTTATAGAAGAAGAAATCGTCGATTAATTTGGGAATAAATAAATTATTAGGGTATTTTTTTAAAAAATAAAAATTTAAATACAAAAAAAAGACAAAGAAAATGAAAGATAAAGATGGAAACGAAGTAATAGTAAAAGAAATATTAAATGCAGATGGAACAGTAACAACAGTAACAGAAAAAATAGACAAAAAAGGAAACAAAATAGTTATTGAAGAAAAAATAGATAAGTTTGGAAACAAAACAAAAACCGAAAAAAAAATTGTTGTAGGCGCAGATGGAAAACAAATTATTGGTAAAAAATATATATTTTAAGTCAATAATTTTTTTTATTTTATTTTATTTAATTTTTAAAAAAAATAAAAAATAAAAAAAAGAGGAAATTTATTTTGATGAAAAAGGTAATAAAATAACAAAAAACACAAAAACAATGGTAGATGAGAATGGAAATAGTTATGCATAAGAGACTATTGTGGATTAGTTTGGAAATAAAATAATAAAAAATGTAAGAAAGAAAGTTGATTAAAATGGAAATATGTATATTGAAGAAGAAATTATAGAAGCAGATGGGAAAAAAAGAATAATTAAAAAAACAGTTGACAAAGACGGAAACGAAATCGAATAAGAAGAAATTATTGATGAGCATGGAAATAAAATTATTATTACTAAAAAAAAAAATAAAGATGGAATAGTTACTGAAGAAAGATACAACCCTTTAACTGGAGAAAAAACTATTCTAAAAAAACATATAGATAGTAGTGGGTATTTATTATATAATTTATTTTTTAACAAAAAAATAAAAATAAAAAAAAAGACGAGAAGTTATTGAAGAAACTAAAATCGATAAAAATGGAAACACCTAAGTTACTAAAAAAATATTATCAAAAGATAAAAATGGAAATACTATTATTGGTTTTTATTTTATTTTTTATAATTATTATTTTTATATATTTTTTTATAATTTTATTTTTATTTTTATTTATCTTTTTTACAATTATTTTTTTTATTTATTTTTTTATAATTATTATTATATTATTTTTTTATAATTATATTTATTATTTTTTTTTTTTTTTTTTTATAACTATTATTTTTATTTATTTTTTTATATTTAAAAAGAGGAGTCTTTCATTGATCCAAAAACAGGAAAATAAGTAACAGTTTAAAAAAAATTAACTAAAGATAAATTCGGAAATTAAATAATCGAAGAAACATACATAGACCCAAGCACAGGAAAATAAGTAACAGTAAAAATGAAAATTACAAAGGATAAAGATGCAAATGAAGTTATAGAAGAAAGCTACATAGACCCAGCTACAGGAAAAACAGTAAAGAAAAAAGTAATCAAAGATAAAGATGGAAACGAAATAATAGAAGAATCTTATATTGACCCAACCACAGGAAAAACAGTAACTATAAGAAAAAAAATTACAAAAGATAAAGATGGTAATAATATTGTAGAAGAATAAGTTATTGATGAAAATGGAAACGCAAAAACCGTAAAAACAAAAGTCTATAGAGATATTGATGGAAAACAAGTTATTGAAGAAGAAATTACAGGAGCTGATGGTAAAAAATACAAAGTCATGAAAAAATTCTATAGAGACGAAAATGGGAATGAAATAGTAGAAGTAATTATTTATTCTGAAATTTCTTTTTTTTTATAAAAAAATAAAGGAAGAAATATTAGATGATAATGGTAATAAAGTAATAATAAAAAAGAAAATCGGAAAAGATGGAAAAATAACAATCGAAGAAACTAAAATAGGAAAAGATGGTAAAAAAACAATAACATAAAAAATAATTAATAATGATGGAACAATACAAGAAACGACAATAGATTCAAATGGAAAAGTAATTCATAGGCAAGTAAATGGATAATCAAAATAAGAAAAAGAAGTTTAAACGGATTTTGATTTAGAAAAATAATTAAAAGCAATTCTTTTATAATTAGGTTGTGATAATTCGAAAGTAGATGAACTTGTTTAATAAATTATTGATTTTATTAATAAAGGAGAGGCTATTGTAATGGGAGATTCTAAAAAAATTACTAATAGGATGTAATAAAAAGGTATTATAGACGATATTATAAACATGTCAGGGCATTAAGTTATTAAATAAAATAAATATATAAAGAAAAATGATAATTAATAAGAAAATGAAGATAAATAACTTGAACTATTAGATGGAATGGACGAAGATTAATAATTAGAAGCTTTATTTAAAAAATTTATGTCTAAAAGTAATAAATATATTACTTTATATTTTATTTAGTATTATTATTTTTTATAAATAGAAAATGAAATGGGAGATTTGATTAAATTGGTAAAAAATAATGCTGGAAAAAATAATAACGAAGATCTTGATATTGAAGATTTTAAAAAATACTTTAGAAAAATGTAAGAAATTCATGCGAAATGTGGAGAAAATTGTCCCCATTTAAAAAGATTTTATGAAAGATTAGGATTCACTTGGTAAAAATACAAAAGGAGATACTTAAAATTAAAAGACACAAAAATTTAAGCATTTAATAAAGTTAAAGAAGTCAAAAATAGTCTAAAATCTCCATAAAAAGAAGATTATATTTGGGAACCTGTTGAAGAAGCGAAAAGTTAAAGTAAAGGGAATGTAACTAATTTTCCTTCTAATGATGAGATAAACAAAGATAAATGAAAGTCATTTTTTTACAATATAGTTATTTATTGGAAGTTTTTATTAAATATATATTTATTTGATATAATAATTATACTTTTAATAAGATTTAATTAATATTTTTTTTTTTTTAATTTAAAAAATATTATACATATAAAATTTAATTTTAAACTTTTAGAGAATTTTATGTATTTTATATTTAAGAATACAACTATTTTTATTATATTATTTTTATAATTATTATTACTTTTAATTTATGAAAGCATAGTCTTAAATTTTATAAATAAATATAAATTAAAATATTATAAATATATTAAAGGAGAAAAAATATATAAATAAAAATTGAAAAATAAAATTTATTTGTTTTCTAATTTTTTTGTAATAAGCATTAAAATATTTTTATTTATTTACAAATTCATTTTATAACTATAAATTATATATATAAACTTGTAATTTTAATATTAATATATTATTTCATATTTAAATTTTTATATTAGTATGCTGTTTTATAATTTTTTCCTATCTTAAAAACATTAATAAAAAAAATTATGTATTTTTTTGTTATAAAAATATTAATTTTATTTATTCGATATTTCTTTTAAAATAAATATTTTTATTTTCTTACTTATTTTAGATAAAAAATTAATTTAAAGTATTTTATCAGAGTATTATTTAAACATTTTTATATTTTTTTTTTTAAAAAAAAAACTAAATATAATATAATATAATATATCAAAATTTTAATAAAATAAAAATAAAATATTTTAGATAAATTATAAATAAAGAATTATTATTATTTATAGTTAGTATTTAAATTTATAAATAATTTAAAATTTAATATTAAAATTTTTATATAAAAAGTTTATTATCAAATCGCCCTTATTTATTATTAACCAAAGAGCTTTTAAACACTAATATCACAAATAATAAAATTGATAAAGTTAAAAATTATTAATATAATTGTTAAAAATAATGAATTAAATATTTTAATTTTGATTAAAATTTAATAGAAAATAAACTCTGAAATATTATTATTTATTAATGAAGTAATAGATTTTATATTTAAAAAATATAATTTTTTATGCTTTAAATTTAAAATTATTTATTATGAGATAATTAAAAATTTAATTGGCATTATTTGCTTTTTTTATATATTTTAGTTTTTATCAAAAACTGTTTTTAACATTAAATAAATATATTATTTTTTACCTAATATATATTTATTTTTAACTATGTTAATAATAGATTTTTAAAACAATTGAAAATATATTTATTTATATTTAAAAACAATATATCTAATTAAAATAAGTAAAAAATTAAACTATATGTATAATAAAGAAAATAAATTTTTATTTTTAAAAAATAAACTATTATTAATCATTTTAATTTACACATTTAAAATTCTATTTAATTATGATAAAAATATTATATTTAATTTTAATATGTATAAAAAAATAAATTAGATTATAAAAACAAAACTATTAATCTTTCATTTTTTCGAAAAGAAATTGTTAATTTACATTTATAAAAAAACCTATTTATATAAAGAATATTACTTTAAAAAATTTTAAAGGCAAAATAAATATATATTGATTCATTATAATATAATAATTTTACTTACTATGATTACTTATTAGAAATTTATTATTAGAAGAGCTTATTTCTTTAATATTTTAATAAATAACATATAATTCATATTTAATATGTTAAAATTACTTTTTGGTAAATAATATTTATGAAAATTTATTATGATAATATAATAATTTGAATAGCCGGAAAATTTCTAAAGTGAATAATAATTTTAAATTGATTTTTTGTATATGAAGTATACATTATATATTAAGGAAAATCAAGTAATATTACAAAATTTTTAATAAAAGAATGATGCTTTCAAGTAAAATTATTAAAAAATAGAGAATAAATAATTAAAAAAATAAAATGATTTAAATTTTATATAATTTTATACTATATTAGTTATATTAAATGATACTAAAATATATAAATTTATCATATTGAATAATTTATAAAAATTAATAATTATAAAAAGCAATTAAATTTTGTGTATGCTTTTATATTTTTTATATAAAGAAACAAATGTATAACTAATATATAATCAGCAAAAATATTATGTAATCTCATTGTAATAAATGAAAATAATAAATTTATATAAATATATAATATAATTAGAATATATTGCCTATATTTTTAAATCTAAAAAATATTTAATATTTCTAAATTTAAACTAAATTAAAAAAGATTATTTTGAATCTTAACTATCCTTTTTTATTTCTATATTGGTTTATTGAGTTTTTGTAAAAAAACAAAATAAAAATAAAAAAATTTTACAAATAAGTAATTCTTAAATTGGTTTAAATATAATATTTCAAAAATTAGATTTATGAAAATATAATTTAGTTTAATTATTATTAATATATGGATTCTTAATATATAAAGTTATTAAAAGTGCTTTAATTTTTTTATATTTTTAAATAAAAGAAATAATATGATAGTTTATCTATAAAATAATAATAAGAAAATTATATTTTTTAGCTTTATAGTTAATATATATAGAGATATTTAAAATTACTTTATAAATGATAATATTAAATTAATTTAAGGTTAAAATTAAATATATATATATTTTCTCTGAATCATAATTTAATTTATCATATTTAATGTTAATTTTAATAAATATAAAGCTAGCTTTAAAAAAATATAAACCATTTAAAATTTATTTCTATTCATAATGTTAATTAGTTATATTTAAAATTTAATAATTTTCAAAAATTTATTCTGTATAAAGAAGATATACTTTATTATATAATTTGTAAAAAGAATAATTATAAATTAGTAACATATTTATATAGTATTGGATTTTGTTACATGTTTTTAATATATATTATTCTTTATGAAAAAAAAAATTATAGCACATTATGAAAAAAAAAAATATATCACATTATGAAAAATACAATATAAAATAGTACTAATAAACGCCATTTAATTTACAAATTTACAAAAAAATAAAAATATTTTTTATTTTTTAAAAGTTTTAATTAAACTGATTTAATAATTAATAAGTGATTAAAAAACTTGGTTTTTATTATTCCATAAACTATACAATAATAAATATTTGAAATTATGATTAATTTAATTAAAGCAAATTAAAAATACTATTTAAAAAAATATATATATGTTTGTTTCAAATTATTTATATTTAATCGCAATATTTATCAAAAAGTTAAATTAATTTTATCATATAGATATTTATTTTAGTTAAGGCATAACATCTGATTAAGAAGTTATATTCTTCTTTAAAGAAATAATAACAAATAAAATATTTATAAAATAAAATTAAATTAATTATATAATTTATTATTAAAAAATTAATATTAAATTATTTGTAATTTAATAATTTATCCTTTTTATTATAGAAATTCCAATAATTTTTTTATTATATAATTTAAAAAATAAAATAATAAAATAAATCTAAAAGTATTTGTTAAAATATTATGAATAATTATTATTATAATTTATATTTTAATAAATTTAAATTTCTTTAAAATAAATATGCTTCTTTATATTATTATAATGGATAAAAATATTATTTTTATATTAATAATAAATATATAATTTATAATAATTAAATAATTATATTAAAGGTTAAATTTAATATTGAATTAATATATTAAACTAAATTTCTTTTTCAAAAAATAAATATATTATTCTTTCGTATCTAATCTAAGTAAAAAAATATTTAAATTAATTCATTAAACTTTTTAAAAAGTATATTAATTAATATTAAATTTATTTTTATATATTTATTTAAATATATTATTAAAAACAAAAAATTTTATATTGTAATTATTTTAATAACAAATAATAAAAATAAAAAAAGTAACAAAATTATAAATAAATTATTTTTAAAAAATTCGACAAGAAAATTTTTTTTTCATTAAATAAAAAAATTAATTATTTTTTTTTAAAAAAATAAATAAAAAAATTGAAAAAGAATTTTAATAAAAAATAATAATTAAAAATATTTTTAATATATAATATATATTAAATATATATAAATTTATAAGATATATATATTATATAAATGTATATATATATTTAAATTTTTTCCTTTTCCAAACCAGCAAGCATTTTTTTCTTATAAAAAAGAATCTTTCATAAAAACTCTTAATTAAAAAAAAAAAAACCAAACTTCTTAAAAAAAAGATGAAAAAGGAAAAAAAAAAAATGAGAGAGACTAAATATCATCATTATTATTCTTCAGCATCATCTTAGAATTCAGAAGTCCATAAAGTTAAATTATCTCTAATTAACTACATAATTGTGGTAGCATCTTTGTACTAATCTTCTTAAATACTTTCAATATCTCCAATAGCTTCATCAAAAGCTGTTTTAGCTAAATTGCAAGCTTTAGAAGGGTCGTTTAAGACTTCGTAATGGAAAACAGAAAAGTTCAAAGCAAGTCCCAATCTAATAGGATGTGTAGTAGAAAGTTCACCAGAAGCAATTTCAGAAGCTTTACTATAACTTTCCAAAGCACCATCAGAGGCTTTTTTGTGGTCATCACCAGTTGCGTATTCTGCAATATATCTATAATAATCACCTTTCATTTTTAAGAAGAAAACTTTAGCTTCAGAATTCTATTTTTTTTTTTAAATATATTTTTTTTAAATATTTTTTTTTACTTATGAATTTTTAACTAAATGAGATGTTAATAATTCAAGGATATCATTACAATATTTGTTTAATTCAGTTTCGATTTTTTTCTTTTAATTTGTCAATAAATTTAAATGCTTAGATCCTTTCTATTCTTCCTTCTATTATATTGCAGAAATACTTCTCCATGCAGATCTTCGAGATCCTACAGTGTTTTTGTAGGCTACTGATAAAAGGTTTCTTTCTTCTACTGATAGGTCTTGTCCAGTTAATACTACTTGTTTCATGTAATCTAACATGTCTTCAAATCTTTCAGTTTATTCAGCAATTTTTGACATATAAATAAGTTCGTCTCTACTTAATCCCATTTTTGTATTTTTTTATTTTTTTTATTTTTTTAAATTATGCTTTTTTTTTAAAAAAATTATATATTTTTTTTTTTTCCTTTATAATCAATTTTTTGGAGTACGAATATATTTTTTTTAAAGTTTTTATTTTTTATATATATATTTAATTTTTATTTTTTTTTAAGTAATTTTTTTTTTTCGAAATTATTATAAAAGGCAAAATAAAAAATAATATGCATTAATTTAAATAAAATAAATTTAAATTAAGATTTATATTCTGAATAATATGATATATTAATATTAGTACAAATTTTTAAAAATTTACAAATATAAATGCGTCATTTTTTTTTTACTAAAAATAGAAAGATGTACTTTTATTGGTATAATATATATATTATTTACATCTAAATAAATATTATTAATTACTTTGGAATTTTATTTTTTTTAATATAAATTAATTCTAGTTATTAAATTTAAAAGAATATATTTTCATTTTAAAATGAAATCTTTATAATATAATATGTTTAAAAATGAGTAATTTTATATATTTCTTTGAAAATATTTTCAAAACTAAAATTAGATAAAAAATTTAATCTGTAATTTATTTAAAAAACTCAATCATAAAAAAAGGACATATCCATTTTTTATCACTTTTTGTTTCTTGATTGTTTTTTTTTAAAAAAAATATTACAAAAAAACAAAATACAGGAAAAAATATAATTAACTTCATATTATAAAAAATTTGTATAGACAATAAAAAAGGCTGTGAAAAATTCTATAATGATTCTTTCAAAAATATATAATTATATTTAACATTTTATTGTCATTTAAATATATTATCAATGTAAAAAAATATTATCATAATACAATAGATTTTATTCATTTGTTGATTTAAAAATATATAATTGAAATTAAAAATTTATTTGAAAGCTTATTAGATAATTTTATAAAGAGAAATAAAAATTTAAATAATTTATTTCATTAAAATTCAAAAATAATTAAAAATTAATATTAATAACTTCATATATTTTTTATTTATTTATGTTTTTAAAATTATTAATTATTTTAATAATTGTTAATAAAAACTAATTTTGAATATATTTTTTATTTACACTTATTTATAATGATTTAAATCACTTAAATTTCATTTAAGTGATAATCAATTAAAAATATAATTCAACAAAATCATATTAGAAAAATAAATTTAAAATAGTTTATAGTTATTTTCTAAAAAATGAAAATATAATTATATTTATTTTTTAAAATTATTTCTATTCTTTTATATTATATTTTATTATTTTAATTTTTATTATTATTTAATAATTTTGTATAAAAAATACAAACAAATATATTTAATAAGTATATTAATTTAATAATTAAAAAATACTTATATTAAAACAATATTTCAAAAATCTTATAAATAAACGATATTCATAAAAGATGAATTTCCAAGTAAACAGGAATATGTTTTTTTAGGTTAAAAAATATATAAAATGTAGATAAAAAATTATTTACAAAGAATAATAGAATATATTTAAATATTTGAAATACAAATAAATAAATTTATATCTTTTAAATAATATATATAAATAAAATATATGTAAAAACATTATTTTTTCAATATAATAGAAATAAATTACATTGCTATTTTTTAGATAAATAAAATAAATATTTTATTTTTTATACGAAATATTATTATAATAAAAAAATTAATAATTTTACTATTTTAAATAATATTATCAAATATATTTTATCTATATTTTTAACTTTATAATAATTTTTTGTTAATATAGGAGGAACATGTTAAAAATAAATTAATTAGCCAGAATTAATATGTTAGAATATATTATAACTTATTATATCATAAATTCAAATATATTTTATTAATATAGATAATAAATAAAATATTAATATAGAAATTATAATAATAATTATAAATTAAAGTACATATATAATCATATTAACTATTTTTTTTTATAATCAATTTAATATTAACCTTTTTAATAAAAAAAAAACTTTACTTAATATAAATTAGTAATAAAATAATTTGCTTTTTTATTAATTAATAGTAGAATATTTAAATATATAGCGTGATATTTAACAAAAAATATCTTATTTTCAAATAATTAAATTTTTGTAACTTTTATTTTCTCAAATTCAAGTATAATTTTGTCAATTTTGTCATAAACAAAATCAATTTATAATAATAATCGAATTTTATTAAACAAAAAATCTATTTTTTAAATACTTAAATTTTAATATATAAAACCTTGATAAAAGTATAATATGATACTTCCAGAATGAAAATAATAAACTATTATTATTATAAATTTCATATATTATAAAAAACTTAATATAGAATAAAATACTATTATAAAAATTAAAAAAAAAAAATTAGAAATAAAATATAATATAATATTAAAATAAAAATAAAATACTAAACAAATAAAAAGCATACTAAAAATTATTCAATAAAAATGAGATAAAAAAAATTAACAAAGCAAGAATCAAGCCATAATTTACCTTTAATAAATTTAAAATAATTTTCAAAAACTCCAACTAGTTTATAAAAAAGTTTAAAAAAGCAGCCAAGTATATAGATTTATAAATTATAAGAAAAAAGACTTTTAAGCCATTTATAAACCGAAAATTAATAACTATAACACGCAATATAAAATCTATAAGAAATGACAAGAAAAGCACTTGATAATCACGAAACTGTATTAAAAGATAGATATTTATTAAACAAAAATCGTATTTCAAGAAAAAGAAGGGAAATTTTAGATTGTGAAACTCTAATATAAAAATAAGATCATGAATTGAATGAAAATCCTTAAATAAAGAAAGAAATATTCGATTTAGGCTAATTAAAAGCTTTTTTTGAGAAAAAAGATACGCAATAAAAACTTATATATAATGAATTAAATGAAGCTATTTAAAAACTGGAAACATTAAAATAAAACTATTATTAATCAATTTAAAATTTAAGAAGAGTAAATTCTAAAAGTGTGGAATTACGTACATTTATAGATTTATTAAAATCTTATAATAAAAAGAATAACACAAATACTGAAAAAATAAATAAGGAGGATAAATCATTATCTTATATTTCTTAAACAGACTAAATATTAATATAATAAAAATAAAAAATAACAGAACAAATAAAACAAATAAAAAATGAAATTTAATTAAAAAAATAAATATTTTACTCTAAATCTAACCATTTTTATAATCTAAATGATCTAATCTAAATGTGCTTTTCTGTTGTAAGCAAAAAACTATTTAATACATTGAGTATTAGCGATAAGAAAGGTTTTAAACAATCAATGTTTTTAACTTTGAAAAATAGTCATCCTTTTATTACTTAAAATTAATAATTAATTAACGATTTTAAAGATAAGGTCCGCGCATCTAATATTCTAATGTAAGAAAGGGCTATTGGTTGTATTTTATATAATTCCTTACTTAATATTATTTAAAGTTAAATTAAAAATGATTCAGATGATAATTAAAAATTGCCTTTTGTTTCGTTTGAAAATTTTAGTTAGTTTACACTTGGATAGCTGTTATCTATTATTTAACTTAAAAAAGGTGTTAAAGAAAAACTATTTATGCCGTTTATTACTAAATAAAAATATATTACTTTAATTAAGTAAGATTTTAACAATTCTTTTTGAAAAATACTTTTTATATTAATTATTGAGTGTTAAATATAACATATATATTTTTTTAAAAAAAAAAACATTATTATTAAATATAAATAAATATTTGCTTTTAAATTATTTAAACAAAAATAAAAAAAAATGATGTCTATTCATTTTCTAACGAAAAAATAAAATAAATATACATAAAAAAAAATGAAAAATATATATCTAAAATATTTTTTTATATTAAATAATTAAAAAAAATACCCATCAATTTTTTTTCTAAACAACAAAAAACGGTTAATTAGTTATTTTCTATGCTTATTTAAGATTTTTCATAATATTAGAATCTTCACTTAATTTATGTTGAAGTGTAGCCTCTCTATCTAAATCCTTCTTCTTAATTTTTTCTAATTTATTTCTGCTCGGTCCTTTTCCATGAAATTTCCAACAAAGATATCTAAAAGCTTATTTTTTAGTCATAATCTTTCCTGTTTCATCCCTATATTCTAATTAAATCCTTTCATTTTCTTTCGTAATAGTCCCATCTTCAGTGGGATCCAAATCTTTGTTTCTTCCTGAAAAAACTAAGTTATCATCTTATAAAATTCCCCTTTCTTATAATTCAGATACAAATCCAGATAATCCGACTCCTAAATCTTCCTTATAAAGTCCTATTTTTTCTAATTCTTCCTACATTAATTTAATTTCTTCTTCAGTAAGATTTTCTTCTTCAAGCATTTTTTTGAAATCATTTTCTTCCTAAATAATATCTTTATGTCTTTTTCCTTTAAATCTATCAGTTGGCATTGATACATTAACAACACTTGTAGTCCCTTTTTTCGTATCTTTGACTGATTTCTTAGTTTCTGGTTTAAAAACGTATTCTTTTTATAAATTTATGGCTTCCTCAGTATCTATATGTTTTAAAGAATCTTCACTAAAAATAATTTCTTTTAATTCTTAAGCATTAATTTAAGTATTATTATTGACTGTATTTTCAGTTTTTTTAGCCTTAGGGACAGCAAAAACTTCCTAATTATTATTTAAATTATTTGCGAATTTCTCATTTTCTTCTAATAAATTTTCTAGTTTCATAATTTTTTATTTGTTTTGTAAATTTCTCATTCTTTCAACACTTTTTTGCAAATATTCAACTTCATCTTCATCTTCAATTATGTTTTTTTACCAGTTTTTATTTGCTTCTTATTAAGCGTTTTTCGCTGCTTATAAGGCTTAATTAAAATTTTCTCTTTTTACTTTTTATTCCGTTAATTATTGAACAAAGTTTTCTTGTTTTTTTCCTTCTTTTAATTATTTTGCATTTTTTAAATTATTTTCTTATAAATTTTCATCAAAATTTTCCTCTAAAAAATCGAGTAAATTATCACTTTGCTTATCTTACTTTTTAACTTTTTTTATTTTCTTTTTAATTTTTATTTACTAATTTTTTTATTCCTTATATTCTTTTGCTACTAAATTATTCAATTCCCCACCACCTTCCTCATTTAAGCTTATAAAACCTTTTTTTTATTTCAATTTTTCTTATATTCTTTCCAATTCTTTTAATTATTCGATTCTAAATTGACCTTCTTCATTTAATTGAATTCCATCTTTTTCAAATTTGTATTCATCATAATGAGGAAGCAGCTTTTTTTCATAATGTTCGACCATATGAGCGGTTTTTACGTCTCCGAGCTTTCGAGCATTTTCTTTTAAGAAATTTTTATGTTCTGCTTTATGTTTATCATATAACTCTTGGTTTAGTAATACTTCTTCGTAATCTTCTTTCAATTCTCCCTTTTCATCTAAAATTGTTTCATCTTGTAATGTTAAAATGTATTCTTAACCTTCATTTATATCATGAAGATCATGGAATATTTTTTATTTAAATGACATTTTTATTATTTTTTATTTATTTTTTTAGACGCTTTTTTTTTATGTTTTTATTGTTTTCTATTAATTTTATAATTATTATTTTGTTATAATAAAAAAAAAAAATTGCATATTTTAATTTTAGAAGAAAAAATAATAAAAAAAAAAATAGCGAGGGATAACTCAAATATTTTATGAGTTATTTAATGTTTTTTCTTCAGAAATCGAAAAGAGAGTTTTTTTATCATTTTTTAAATTAAATCTTTTAATCAAATTATTTTTTTTAAAATATTAATCTTGAATATCATTTTTATTTAATTTCAAAAATTAATCCTAATTTAAATTTTTGAATTTATTATCAATTAAAGCCTATCTTTATTTCAAATCTTTTCCTATATTATTAAATTTTTCAATCCAATTTCCCAAATCATTCTCTTTTTATTGGCTAAAATCTTTCCAAAAATCATCTTTTTGTTTTCAATTTAAAAAGCATATAAATTCTTTTAACTTTCAAGTTTATTCCATTCAGATTCAAAATCAATATACCTTTAAAATTATTAAAAATTATTTTTATTATTATAATAATAATTATTATTATTATTATTATTATTATTATTATTATTATTATTATTTTTTCATTTTTATTTAATTTTTTTATTTTGCTTATATTTATTGAGCTTTTAAACTTAATTCTATAATTTAATTTTACAAAATTAATTTTTCATTTTGAATATTAGTTATTGTATTTTATAATGTATCATTATTTATTATTTACTTTTTTAATATTTATCCTTCGAATTTAAATATATTTTTATTTTCGTTTTATTTTTTATCATTCAATTAAGTATTTTCATTTTCGTATTCTTACTATTAATTTTTTTATAATCTAGACCAAACAATATATTTTATATTTTTCATACTCTTATTTATTCATATAATAGTTTTTTTTTTATCTTACAGATAAATTTTTTTATTTGATTACTAATATTACTTTTTATTATATTTTTTGCGTTTATTGTATTTTTTTATATTACTTCTTCTAATTTCTTAATTTTCTTTTGTAAATATTCTTTTTGAAACATTTATTTTAATTTAAATTTTAATATTTATATTTTCTACTGTTTCTTATGTATATACAAATAAAATACAATTAATATATTAAATATATAAAAAAGTATTTAAATCAATATTTTAGTTTTTAGTAATAATAAAAATTAAATATTTTTTTTTCTTTTTCATAAAAATTATAGAGTTATATTATTTTTTTAATAATTTTAAAACAAAAATATTTAACTTTTATAATGCAAAAATGCAAATACATTTATATTATATTCATTAAAATAAATTATTATTCATTTTTTATACATATTTAAATAAATATTATATAAATTATTATATTTCCCAATTCTTTTTTTTTAAATAATTTTTATTAAAATACAAAAAAGATCTTACATAATTCATTTAAAATAATAATAAAATAAATGTCTATTTAGTTTTAAATTATAATTTTAATTTTTAAGTAATCTTTAAGACAATTTTGTAATTTAAAAATTAATTATAAACAAGAACTTATTTCTAATTCAGAACAGAAAGTTTATTAAAAAAAAAATATCTATTTTAATTATTTTGTTGATAAAAAATAATAATAATAATATTATATTGTAGAAGCTAAATTATAAAAATAAAATAAATTTATAAAATTATTATTTATATAAAATATATATATATCTTTAGTATTATATGAAAAAAATATTAATATTATTCATAATATATATTTTACATTAAATTGTCATAAATATTAAGAAATTTTGTATTTAATAAATTAATATATAAAACTTTTATAAAAGTTAATATAAAATTCATTATAATCAATTTAATATATTTAACTAACACTTTCTTATATTTCTATAATTTTTTCTTTTTACATAAAAAAAACTATATATTACATAATATAAATATTAATATACAAATAAATAAATAAAAAAAATATAAGAAATGTAAATAAATGCCAATCATAATTAATTAGAAAATATAGTATAATAGAACTAATTTTTTTAAAAAAAGCTACCTTAAAATCCTCCTAGATAAAGAAGATAGAGTAGAAAAACATAAATAAATATAAATTGGGAAGATATAACAACATATTTAAAAAATCCTTATTAAATTGATGAATATAATGCATCATTTAAGCTTATGAAATTAGATAAATAATTAGAGATTCCAAAAGAATAATAATAAAAGAGAAGCTAGAATTGTCGAAAAAATTAAAAAAACTAAAGTAATTAAAGTAATATAACAAATTAAGAACTACAATCAAATATTAATCAATAATAATAGTATAATAATAATTCAAAAGAGATTTAAAATATTGACTATATTTAATAAAATTTTAATGGATATTAAAGTTAATAATATGAATAACTACAATAATAATAGTAAAAAGATGTCAAAGTTTAAAAACAAATATATAAAGATTTCAATAATGAAATACTATAAAAAAACTTCTAAAATATTACTAATGGTTAACTTTAATAAATTATAAATATTTAAAAAGCAGGGGGTATTAAAAATTTTAGATAATTTGAAAATAATACTTAAAATATAAATAATTTTTTAAGTTAAAATGAAGGTATTAATAGATTTTAAAATCCAGAAAACAAAGAAGAAAATAATAATTTAATTTAAAATAAATAAATAATAAATTAAATCGAAAGAGAAATTAAAAAAGATCATAAAAAGACAAAATAATAAAGCAAAAGAAATATGAAAAAAATAATAAATTAAGACAAATCAAATAATTAATATAATTTTGATAATAATATAGAAAATGATAATTAAAGTAAAAAAAATAAACTTAATGATTAAAATATGCAATAGTTATAGTAAAATAATATATAATTTTAATAAAATACTAATTAATTATTAAATAAAAATCAAGATTTTAATGATAATAATAAAAAGATTATATTAAATAATAATAATAAACATTCAAATTATAATTTTTAAACTAATTATATTAATAATTAAAACAATATAAACATAAATATAGATAATAATAATCTTAATTAAAATCCAAACTATATAAACTTTAAAAACTAGATTAATTAAAATAATCCTAATTATAATATAAACAACTATTAAAATAATCAAAATCTAAACAAATCTAATTTTTAAAAATAAAATCAATTTATAGGAATACCTTAAAATGATAATGAATATAATAAAAATATTAATATTCAAGGATAAAATTAATATTAATATACAAATTATGATATAAATAAAGAATAGTAATATAATGATATGTTAAACTTTAAAAATTCAAACTCTAGCTCTTTTACGAATTCTTAATATTTTTAACAGTAAAGCATTTATAAAGATATTCCACAAAAGCATACTGAATAGTAATAAATACAATAAATCTAAAATAATAAATAACTTCAAAATTTAATTAATCCATCGTAAGAAAAAAATATATAAAAAAATATAATTATAATTATAATTATATATATATATATACTTTTTTAGATTAATACAGTAATAATAATTGCAGTAATAACAATAAATATAGCAATATTAATAAAAATAACAATAAAAATAATAATAACATTAATAATAACAACAATAATAACATTAATAATAATGCAATTTTAGTATACCTTAAGAAAATTTTGATTAAAAAAAAAATTATTTAAATAACTTATAAGCAAATATATCCCAAAATATAAAATAAACAATACTATAATAATAAGATATGGGAATAAACCCTTAATTATATTAAAATATTACTGACATTAATAATTGTTATACATAAAATAAAGATTAATAATAAATAGTAAATTAAACAGATTCAAATTTTGAAAATAATAATTTTTTAGATTATTCATAAAGTTAAGAAATAAATCTAAAATATTTCTAAAATAACAATATTTAATAATGTTAGCAATAAAATTTAAAACTCAAAGAACATATTACTTTAGAAAATAACTTCTAAAACGAATATGAATTTGAAAATTAATTTAAAGATTAATGCACTGTAGTATAATGGAAACCAGATAATTTTCTAAATTAAAATGAAGATTTATTGCTTATAAGATAAGTTCTATAAAGTAATAATTTCGATTAAAGTGTTTTAAATTAAGTTTTAAATGATGTAAAACTTAATAAATAAAGTTCTTAAAATTTCCTTATTGCAGCAAGCAAACTTACAAAGGAAAATACAGTAAAAATAACCATTACAGATAAAAAAAATATAAATTTTAAAGAATTGCAATTAAAAATTGTAAATAATAAAAAATGTCCTTATGGCGTTATTAATAATAATGTAAAAAAAATTATTTAAAATGAATAAGTTTCGGAACTTAATTAAATTATTGGTATTTGGTGGAAGAAAGAATATTAATAATAAAATAGTTAGAATAAAGATTGAAAATATATGACTAGCTAATATTTAATACTGCAATTATTTTTTTATTTTCTTTCAATATTTTTTTTTTTTTTTTTTAAAAAAAAAAAATATAATTTTTTGTTTATAAAAAAATATTAAAAAAATAAGTTATAAAATTAAATGTGGTTTGAATAAATTATTTATTAATGTTTTAAAGATTTTTTTTTTTTTTTTTTTTTTTTTTTATTTTATAAAAGATTTTTATAAATAAATAAATATTTTTAATTTAATATTTATCAAAACAACTAATAGTATTTATTAATATTAAATGAATCAAATATAACATATATACATTCACCTTCCATTTTGTTTAAAAAAATGTATTTATTGTTCATTTCCAATACATGCAATAGGAAAAAATCAAGAAAATTAATAACATTTTGAAGAATTATAAAATATATATACTAATAATTTATTAAAAGAAATGGATTATACTTTAAATTACTACATAAAAAAAACGCAAAATATAAAATCAATATATTTAGGCGGAGGGACTCCTTCATTATTTTCCAAAAAAACTTAGACAAGATTTTTACATATATAAATAAAAGTCCATTAATAAAACAAAATGAAAAAACCGAAATTACAATTGAATGTGATCCAGGAACTTTTGATGAAAAAAAATCGAATTTTATTCAAAAAACTTAGGTATAAATAGAATATCATTAGGTGTATAAAGTTACAATGAAAACATTTTAAAATACATGAATAGATCACATAATCTTCAATAAACATAAGAATCAATTAATATTTTAAAAAATTCATAAAATTTTTCCTCTTTAAGTAATGTATCTTTTGATTTAATTATGAATTTACCTATGAATATTTAAGGAAATAATAAAAATATAGACATAAAAGAAGCCTTTTTGGATTCCTTAAATTTAATAAAATAAACTAAAGTAGGCCATATTTGTGTTTATTCGCTTTGTGTTGAAAGTGGCTCACACTTGTTTGATGTAAAAAAATATAGAGAATGTTAATTTCCACTTCCTGATAATAATAATCAAGCTGATTTGTATGAAAAATGTCATGAAGTTTTAGAGGATTAATACTTGCATTATGAAGTTTCAAGCTTTTTGAGAAAAGATTGTGATTTTCCAATACATAATCCAGCTTATTGGAAAGGTAATGCATTTTATTTTGCATTTGGAATGGGAGCTTCTAGTTTTATTAATAATAGAAGGGTTAACAGGCCTAAAAATGTAAAATAATATTTTAAATTTGTAGAAAATATATCAAATAAAGAATTTGATTTAGAGGGAATTTGTGAAAATAATGTTTATGATTAAATTGAGAATATTTTATTAGGAAGATTGAGAACCAGTTTCGGAGTTGATTTGGTTGAAATTAAAAATTTGTTCGGAGATTTTGTTTATAATATTATTAGAGAAAGAGTTTTATTTTTATAAAAAATTAACTAATTTATAGAATTTGATGATAATTAAATATTAAAGGTTAAAGGAAGTAAAGGGTTTCTTATTTGTGATGAAATTATAACTGATTTGTGTTATTATTTAGAAGTTTAATTAAAGAAAAATTAAAAAAATTAATGATTTTTTGTTATTTTTGTAAATACATATTTTTATTTTTTATATTATAGATAATTCCTTTATAAATTTTTTAAATAGTAATTGAAAATAAAAATAAAATACATTTATTTTTAGAATTTATATTAAATAAAGAAAGAAAAAATACAGCAAATTCTATATTTTCACAAATAAATTAAAAAAAAATATATAATTACTTAAAAGTAGAATTAAAAAAAAAAAAATTTTCAGAAGTAAAAATTAAATTGATTTTATTATAATATATCAAAATAAAAATAAAAAGAAGATATAAATTAATTTAAATAATATTATATTTAATATATACTTTCTAAAATTTATTTTAATATATTTTTTTATTTTTTTTAAATAGCATTCTATTTAAAAATATTTAAAAAAATAAAATAAATTTATACGCATAAAAAAAAAATTATAAATGTAAAAATCAGAGTTCAGTTAAAATTTAAACAATAACAAACAATCTTAAAAGTATAATAATAATATATACGAATAACCTTACATTTTTATTTATATATTATTAATATAATAAAATAAAATATTGATTTATAAACCAAAAAAATATTTAATATATATAATTATATAAAATAGTAATTATAGACCAATTTCAGCTTCATAAATTAAAAAAAGCTAACTTCCTGAACCATAAGGAGATATAGAAGAATATATGTGATTAAATTATATTAGAAAATAAAGCAAAAACTAATAAATTATTTATAAAATAAAAAAATTATAATAGGGAAATACTATTAGAACATTAAATAAATTGTCAAAAATAAGGAAAATATGTAGAAGCAGAATTAGCAAAACGCAGATTATAAGAATTAAAAGTTGAATTTGAAAAAAGATCAAAAGATGAAATGAAATAAAGGCATTATAATGAAGTTAGTTTTTTAATAGAAAAAAAATAATTATTTTTTAAATATTAAAAAAAAAAAAAAGAAATCTGAAATTGAAAAAGCTCATTTAAATGAATATAATGAATTCAACGAATTTTGGGATAAAAAAATGCAAGAATTTAATGAAGAAGCAGAAAGAGTTGAAAAAGAAACTTTACAAAGACATTAAGAAGAACTTGAGAAGTTTCAGGAAGAAATAGAACAATCTATAAGTATTATTTTTTTTAATAAAAATATAAACAACAATTTTTTTATTTAAAAAAAAAAAGGTTAAAAACCGAAGGATACTCCTGAATTATTAAATTTAAGAAAAATGGAAGAATAATTAGCTAGATAATAAGAGTTAATTTTATTAAAAAAATAAATATATAATATGTACCTTTATAAAAATAAAAAAATAGATATATGGAAGCACATTAAATTTAATAAAGAATTTTTATATTAGAAAAGGAAGAATTCGAAAAATGGAATTATTAAAGATAAATAAAAGTGAAGAATTTAATGGTTTAATTAAGAACTCGTCAATAAAATGAAATTTCAGCTTTAAGATAGAGAATTATTTCAGGTTAAGAAGAATAAAAAAAATCAGAAATTAAGAATTGGAAAAGTAAATTTTTTATTTCATATAATTTTATTATTTTTATAATTAATATTTAGACTCCTTTAAAAATATAATAATGTAAAAAAAGAACTTGAAAATACTTAAATATAAGAAGGTACTAAAATGGAAAAATCATTAAAATATGGATGTATATAAATAATATAAATATAACAATATTTTATTTTTAAATTTATTGCATAAAGCTGTTATGAATGCTTCTAAAATAATGAACTAATCAAAAATGTCAAATGCTTCTTTTGCTAAAAATTAATAAAGAATATAATATTGATTCCTTTAAATTTATTTTTTTATAATAAAAATAATGTTTTTTATTTTATTTATTTTTTAAATTATAAAATAATATTTTTTTTACATTCTTAAATAAATAATTAACTATGTAAGTATTATGAAACAAAAAAAATTAATATATATTAATTTGTAATATATAATGTATAATAATAAAGATTATAATTAAATATACATTTATAATTATTTTTGTTTAAACTTGTTTTAAAATTTATAAAATATTTTAAATTTATTTTAAAATTTAATTTCAATCAAATAATATTATTCTTTAAATAGCTTTATTTTATTTAAAAAAAAATAGAGGAAGGAAATACATATATATTAAAAGAAGATTATTTATAATCAAACAAAAAAATATAATGCTAACTTAAATAATTGGAAAAAATAAATAAATTAATTTTAGAACTTGAGTAAACTTAGTATAAAGTAAAAAAACAAAATTAAGAAGCAGTCATGAAAAAAGCTTAAAACTATAAATTAATTAATAAAGTAGAGAACATGAACACAAATATTTCGTTTTAATAAAAAAAAATCATTAAATAAATTTATCGATGCCTAAAAGTATAAATGAAAATATAACCAAAAAAAATGAAAATAAAAAAGATAATTAAAAGCAATTAGTAGATGTAAATAATGATACAAAATATGAAAAACTACAAGTATAATAACAAACAGAATAGTAAAATTTAAAAATAATAAAGTCAGAAAAATATATATTAAATAATAAAAGTAGATATATTTATTTCTTAAAATTAAAATAAATATATAAATAATAAATATAATAATAAAACAAGCTATAAAAAATGATTCCAATAATAATATTAATAATAACTATAATTAAAATACATAAAAAAAATATAAAATTTAGTATATTATACAAAAATCATTTATAAAAAATAATTTGAACAAAATAAGCTATATTATTAATAATCATTTAAAAAATAAATTCTTATAAATAAAAATCTAAGAATAAAGTAAATAAAATAAACGATTTAATTTGATTTAGATAAATAATTGCAAGAAACAAAAAAAAATTAGAAAATTTAAAATTGCTATAAGAATATTAAAATCTAATTAAATAATAAGTAGTAAAAAGCAAAAGAGTATAAAAAATAATTAATTAAAAAAGGAATTTAACGTTTTCAATAATTATTATTTAAAATTTTAAATAAAATAAAAATATTCCAAAATAACAATTAATTGGATATTTATTTTTATTTAAGAGACCCTAAATTAATTGCTTAAAAAAACTAGAATATATTATTTATCTAAAACATTTAATTTAGGAATCTATTGCCTTTAAAAAATCGAAGAAACAAATTCTTTATTGAAATAATATCCCAAGAAAGATATAAAGAAACAGTTTTATTTCCATACTTTAAATATTTAAAATTATTTCTTGGATATTTTTGAAATTAATGTAAGTAAATTTTATTTATAAAGACTATAATAAATATTATGCCATTGATCTTAGAAATTATAAATAATTTAATAGTAATATTCATTAAATAACCACTAAATATGATGAAAAAGGAATTTTATAATTTACATTAAAAATTGCTTCTTTTGTTTATGTATATTTTAGAATATAAGAAATATGAAGATTAAGAAAATATGTAATTATTATTTCATTAATATAAATATATATATATATATATAAATATATATAAATATATATATATATTTATAATAAAAAAAAAATGTATCTATAATATTTATTTTTTTCACTATTATATTATTTTTTATTTTTATTATTTCTTACTTTCAATATAAATGATTATATTCAATTATAAATTATTGTTTTTTATATTTTATTCTACTAAAATTTTTTATTTATATTATTACTTTATTTATTAATATTTAATTTCTCCTTTAAAATTTACTAATCATTTTAAGTTTAAGAATACTTTTTTTAAGATGCGTTTTGAAAATTTTTAATTAAAACTTTAAAAAATTTCTAAAAATTTTTTTCTTATTAAACTAAAGGTTATTATAACTTTATTATATCCGTATTTATATGTTTTTCTGATTATGTTTTTATATTTTTTTTTTAAGTTTAAATTATTTTTTCATGTTTTTACTTTTAAATTAAAATAATTTTGTCTTTTAAACTTTAGATGTTGGTGAATGAAATATATAATAGTTTTAATTATTTTATATTTTAAAAATAATACCTCATATATTAACTGAATTTTATTACATATTTATTAGCAATATTTTCAAAACTATAATTATTTTATTTTTTCACTTTACCTATTTTTTATTCTTTATACTAATTTATTAATTCATTATATTCTTATTTTAAATTAAATGCTTACTTATTTATATAAAAAATATATTAGAATTCATTTTCGAACTATTTTAATTTTTATTTTAATACTTTTTATATTATTTTTTTTTATAAAAATAATTATTTATCTTCTACGTGTTAACTTTTTATATACTTTAAATATTTTTTATTAAATATAAATAAAATATTTATTATATATACTTTAAGTTTATCATTAAGGTTTTATTAACTATTTTTTTACATAGATTGAATAATGTTACTAAATTTATCAAAATTAAAATTCATTAATCAATAAAAGTATTTACAATAATAAATAATAAATATTACTGTTAAAAATAATAAATTTATTTATATTAACAATAATAATAATAATAATATATTGAAATTATTATTTATTTTTTTTAAAAAAAATATATTAATAATATATATATTAATATAAAAATAAATAATTTATTTAAAAAATATATTAATATCATAAAAAAGTTAAAATATAAATAAATAAATTAAAATAAAATAAAAAAATATTAAAAATAAAAAAGTCAATGGAAATCGAAAATATCTATTATAGATAATTAGGTTTTAAGATTCCTAATTAACCTATTTAAAATGTTTTGAAAATTCTTAAAGAAGATTAAGTAAAATTATAATAATAATATGAAAATTATCATTTTTTAATTATAATAAAAAGTCTAATTTTTAATTAAAACATGTTTAAGAAGATTTATCGCATGAAAAAGTTTTTTTTTTTTTATAAAATAAATATAATTTGATAAACATAAAATAAATAAATAAAAGCTTACATAAAAACTATAATAAGAAATAAAATAAAATAACAACACTAGGATTTAAAAATTTGATTAATATTATTTTGTTAACTCTATAGACACATAAAAATTAACAAGTACATAATAAGCATATTATTATTCATATAATCCTTTTAATTACACATTAAGCGATAAGTAAATAAATAAATAAAGATATTTGTAAATAATTAAAATTAAATAAAAAAAGTGAAAGTCAAATTTAAAAAAATGTAGAAAATAATAAATTAAATGAAAATAACACAAATTCAATGACTAAAGAAAACAAAGAAGTCGAAAATCATAAAACTGAAAATAAATAACTTATAAATTAATAATTATAATGTTAAATAAATTAATGTAAGATTAACTTTTTTAAAAAATTAAAAAAAATAGAATTAATTATTGAGAACAAAAGTTAAAATAATAATACTAAAGTATATTGTAAATGTAAAAAATTATATAATGGGGAACTTATGGTTTAATGTAATAATGATAATTGTTAAATTATTTGGTTTCATCCAAATTGTGTTGGATTAGAAGATTTCACACATTTTTAGTTATAAGATATATAATTTATTTGTGAAGAATGTAGATTAAATAAAAGTGTATTTTTTATAATTATAATTACTTTGCATTTATTTTTATATATATATATATATAAAATCAAATATAATAGGAAGGAAATAATGATAATTAATAAAGAAATATTAATTAAAAAAGAAATTATAATAAAAAATCATTAAAAAATTGATAGGATTTTTATTTTTATATTAATTAAAATAAAATTATATGTAAAAAAAAGTAAAAATAAATTTAATTATGAGAAAATAAATATAAATTTAAAAAAGCTAATAAAATATAATTTTATTATTTATATTAATTTAAATTTTTTTTATTATATACTTAAACTATTAAAAAATAATATTAAATAAATATATTTTTTTATAAATGATATAAAAAAAATAATGTATTTAAAGAAGTTAATCATAATTATTATATTTAAAAAAGCTTTCTCCAAAAGTTAAATAGTAAAACAGTTTATCAATTTAATAATAGCATAAAATAAAATCTAAAAGCACATAATTCAATTATAAAATAAATGATTAACCAGCTACTAATAGATTATAATAAACAAATAAAATATAAAACTTTTTTTTAAAGTAATCAGAAAATAATTATTTAAATAATAAAATTAAACAACCATGTAAATTCAAAATAAATAAAATATATAAAAATTGTTTTAAAAATATCATATTTTTGAAATGAAAAATTAAAATAAATAAATAAATATTATATAATTTATTTTTATTTTCTTTTAATAAATTTATAATAAAAAAAATAAAAATAAAAAAGATTTATTAAAAAGTATTTAACCTTTTACTGTTAGAGATTAATCTAAATTTTAACTTAATTTAAACTAAAAACTAAAAGGAATAAAAGATAATGAATCAAAAATAAGCATAGAAAAAATAAAAAATATAATATAAAAATAATAAAAATCTTAAGAAAAATTAGAAAATATATAATAAAAATCAAAATTAAAAAGTATTTAAAAGGAAAAATAAATCGAATAAGAAAAAAAAAAATTTATTATCTGAACAAAATAGAAAATTCGTTTGAAAAAAATAATTAAAAAAATCAATTATATAGAAATCATTTTATATAAACATGTTAAGCAATACAATTTAGTAAAATAATATAAAATTTTAAGTAAAATATTTAAAACTAATAATAATCGATATATTTAGGATAAAGAAAACCAAAAAGTAAACTTTTTAATAAATAGTATGATATAATATAATATAAATTTTTTATATATATATATATATTATATATATATTTATATATTTATATATTTATATATTTATATATATTTATAGTTAATAAGACATTAATTTTAGATTTAGATGAAACGCTTATACATTGTATTTAAAATAAGTATTAAATTTCAGATGTCAAAATAAATGTTTCTTTACCAAATGGAATTTAAACTAAAGTATATTTATTAAAATGTTATTCTAATATATATTTTTGTTTTGTTTTAAGGTTTAAATTAATATAAGACCATATACATATGAATTTTTATAAAATATATCTCAAAAATATGAAATTATTATTTTTACAGCTAGTCATAATTCTTATGCTTAAGCTATTATCGATTATATAGATCCTAATAAAGATTATATTTGTAATATTTTTGCTAGAGAAAAGTGCATTCAAACTAATAATGATATATTTATTAAAGACTTGAGTATATTTAAAGACAGAAAATTATCTGAAATAGTCATTGTAGATAATATGGCTAGTTCTTTTGCACTTTAAATTGATAATGGAATACCGATAATTCCTTTTTATGATAGTAAAGATGATAATGAACTTGTGGAATTGGAAAATTATTTAAATTATTTAGAAGAAGTCAATGATGTAAGAGTTTTAAATAAAAAAATATTTAAATTGCATTTATTTAATTAAGATTATTAAAATAGTTTTGAAAAAATATTTAAAAAAAAATTAATTGAATATTATATAATTAATCTATTATATTTAATTTTCATTATATTATATTATATTTTTATTATTTATTTTTTTATTATTATAATATATATTACTATTTTTAAAATAGTTTTTTATAATTTTTAATTCCATTATTTTATTAAAAAAAATCAAAAATTTTAGTACATTGTAAGTAATTTAAATTTTTATTGTTTTAAGTAATCTTAAATTAAAAATTATATTTTTATTATAAGAAATATTCTATATTACTTTTTATAAAAATTCGACTTTTTATTACATCGAGGATAAGAAATAAATTATATTTAAAATTTTTTAATTATTAAATTTATTTTGTAATATCTTTGTTATTTTTTTTTAAATGATAATTTATTATATTAACTAATTATAAACAAGTTTTTTAGAAATTTCATATTAATATATTTTAAATTAAAGCTTTTTGAAATAAAATAATTATTATAAATTATATTTTCTTTTATACCTATTTTTCTTTTCGTTTTTTAAAGATCGAGTTTTTGATAAATATTTTTAGATAAAAATTATATAAGCTAAATTTTATTTTATAAAAAAATAAATTATTTATTTATTTCTAAATTAATTAAAAATTTTCCAAATATTTATTATAATTAAATTAATAATAATTTATTATATTTTTAAAATAAATTAATTATTTAATTATTTTTAATTTTAATATTATTATTTTATATAAAAATGTATAAAAAAATTTAAAAATATGTAATTTATTTATTTTGCATATAATTTATTTATCAAAGATTGTATTAATAAATTATAAATATATAATTTTTTTATTTTTTTAAAAAAAAATTTTTAAATTAATATTACATGATCTTAAAAAATTATAATAATTTTAAAATATTTAATATATTTTTTTTTCTTAAATAAAAAATAAATAATTTATAATTACTATTGAAATATTTTTAATTTAATTATAAATTTATATAAATATAATATATATATATCTTTATATATATTTTTTTTTTTTTATAACAATATACTTACTCTCGTATTTAATTTTTAATAAATAATTTATAATTTAATTTTAATAATAAACATATATAAATTATTTCCTCATTTTAATTATATATTTTATAAAAAAAAATTTAAAGCTTTTGATTTATTACTATATTATAATTATATAATTTTATAAAAAAAAAAATTTAACTACTAAAAACAAATTTAATAAATATTTTTTATTAAATAAATTAAAATAATCTATTAAAAAAAAAATATTAACAATATAAAAAAATAAAAAATAAAATAAAAAATTTATAACTAAATTTCCACATGAATAAACTATTATAAAAAAAATCTCTTATACTAAGTAATCCAACACCACATGATGCAAATTAAAAAGAGATTTTAGAAAATGCCATCTAAAAACCATAAACTTAAAAATCATAAAAAACTCACACACGTCGATAAACCCAACCTTTTTTAACATCTCGACCTTCAATTATAAATTAATAAAAGTTCGGTATTAAACAAGAAATATAATATCCATTGACCGCTCGTGCATCCTAATAATACCAAACTACAAAATCATCTTTTTCAAATTACAATTAAAAAAATAACCAATAAAACTAATCTACAATAAACACTGTCAATAGTAATATTATTTAAACCAACTTTTATAAAAATAATAAATTTCCAACCACAACAAGCGATCATTATTACTCAAACGAAACCAAATTGGAGATAACTTTATAAAATACAAATGAAAATATTCAATAAGACGATAGTATGAAGCATATGTTTTTAAGTCAGAAAAAAAATTCGGATGCTTTATAAAGATACAGTGTTAATTTTTAAAAGAAAACTCAAGAAAATTAAAATCTATAAAATAATATTCAATATGACGATATTATGTAGAATATGTTTTTAAGTCAGAAAAAAATTCGGATGCTTTGTAAAGATACAGTGTTAATTTTTAAAAGAAAACTCAAGAAAATTAAAATCTTATATAAAATAATAATAGTATATTATAAAAAATAAAATTAAGTAGAGTATTTTTTCTGAAAATACGCATGAAAATATAAAAACCTATGCACGTTTTCGCCCTAATAATAAAATCGAAATCGAATTGGAATCAAATTAGTTAGGCCTAAACGTAGTCGAGTTTTTACCAGGTGAACAATCAGTAAGAATAAACATAAATTAAGAATAACCTTTAGTTTTTGTCCTTGATAAAATATTTAATTAGAATACTCCTTAATAGACAATATACGAATAAATTGTTTAAAGAGTAGCTGATGAGGTTTTAGAAGGATATAACGGGACTATTTTAGCATATGGGGTGTCTGGAAGTGGCAAATCACATACTATTTTTGGCAATTTAGATAATTTTGAAGAATAAGGGATTGTTCTAAGAGTTTGCCGGTAAATTTTTGGATTTCTTTAATAAGAAGAAGTTGAAAAATAAGAAACTGAAGTTATTGTTAAATGTTCTATGTTGGAGATTTATAAAGAAAATTTGTTAGATAGTTTAAATTAAAATGATGATAAAATTGATCTTAAAATTAAAGAAAATTCATAAAAAGGAATATATGTTTAAGTAATATTTATATTATTGTATATAAACGAATATTTTTTATAATCAAAAAAAGGGACTCACTTAAATATAAGTTTAAGATGAAAATGAACTTATTGAATTAATAAATTTTGGATATAATAATAGATAAATTAGAGCTACGAAACTTAACGAATATAGCTCAAGATCTCACACTATTTTCATGTTTTAAATAAACCAAAAATTAGCAAACGGTTCTGAAAAAAACGGAAAACTAAACCTTGTAGATCTTGCTGGATGCGAAAATATTTCAAAAAGTGGAGCTTTTGGAGAAAATTTAGAAGAAGCAATTAAAATTAACTTATCAATAACTTCCTTAGGTATATTTATTTATATATTTTTATTAATTTATATATATTTTTATTTTATTTTTTAAAGGGAAAGTCATTTTTGCTTTGAATAATGAATAAGATTTTATTCCTTATAGAAATTCTAAATTAACTCGCATTTTATAAGAATCTTTAGGTGGAAATTATTAAGTAGTTTATTTTTGTTTATTTATATATTTTCTTTTATAAAAAGACTTCTTTAATTGTGAATTGTTCAATGCATTCGAAATTTATTGAAGAAACAATTTCTTCTTTAAAATTTGCTATAAAAGCTAAAACAATAAAAAATTAATTAAAAAGAAATTATACTGCTTCAGCAGATTAATTAAGATAAACAATTTAAATTTTAAAATAAGAACTTGTATAATACCAAAGTTTATGTTCTTAATATATATAAGTTATTGATAATACTAAAAATGAAATGAAACATATTCCTTAATGCGAATAAATAGTTAAAATATGTAAAAAATCAAGATTATATATATAAATAATAGTAAAAATTAAATATAAAAAAAGATAATGATTTAGAAAATATACATAAAAATAATATTACCTAAACAAATTTTTCAGAAGATGTATAATAAGGAGAAAAATTAGTAAGCGAAAATATGCTCAGAAAATTAAAAAATAATGAAGAAACAATAGATTTTTAAAAATAAACTATTTAAGAATTAGAGGAAAAAAATAAGGCGTTTCAAATTTAAATTATAGAAATGAAATAAAACAATATTACTATAAAAAATTAAATTAATGACATTTTAAATGAAAAAAACATGTATAAAATTTAATATTTAAAAGAAATCTAAAAAAATACATATAATCAATTTTCATTGGAAATTCATTAAAAATAAATATAAAAATTAATAAATTAAATCTGCTAATTGGAAAAATAAAATCTATTACTTCTTAATGAAAAAAAATAATATGTAATATTAAAATAATATATATATTATATAATTATAATATATTAAATTAAAAAATATTAATATATATATATTTATATATAAATATAAATATAAATATAAATATAAATATAAATATAAATATATATTTTATTTTTATATCTTTATTTTCATATTTCTTATTTAATAATTTTAGGTGAATAAAAAATAGATGATTTTTTTAAAAATAATTTAAGTTTTTCTGAAATTAAATTATCTGAATATTTTAAAAATAATTTTAATTTTAAATTTGAAGTATTTTTATTTCCATTTATTTATATTAAAATAAAAAAGTTAAATGATTAATAAACATAAGTTTAATCATTTAAAGATATGAGTTTAGATTCTTTAGATAAAAGTATTTTAGATGAAATTTCTTCTTGTTAAAGTAATGAATCTTAAATATTTAATTATTTTTAAAAGTAAAAATTTTAATTCATATTAAATAAAAATTATTATAAATTTTATATTATTTTTCAAAAAAAATGTAGTTTAATTTCTTATAAACAGAGTACTTTTAAAAAGCTTAATATACAAAAGAATTCAGAATCATAAAAAAAAATATTGAATTACCTCAAAAAATAGAAGAAACTATTTTATAAAATCCATTAACAAAAGATTTTATTATTATTTAATTAAAAAAGTTAATAATAAAGTATAAATAAATAATTTAATTTTTTATTTTATTTTTAAATAATATAAGTTCACATATAATGAATTAAAACCTTTTAAGGACAATAAGTTCTTTAGAATGGAAACAAATATTAGATAATGGAAAGATTTTAATAAAAAATAATTTAATAAAATTCTAAACAAAATAAATAAATAGTTTAGAAAAAGTGATTGATGAATGTACTAAGAATAGTAAAGATTTAAGAATAAAAATAGAAAATATTTTATTTGATATAGATTCTTTTTAAAAATAAGTAAAAAATAATTATTAAAGTGAAAGTCAGAAAAATAATACACTTAAAGCACCTAATATATTATAAACTTAAAGATCATTTTAAAATAAAGATATAAAAAAATAAATAATTCTTAAAATATGTTTTACAATAATAAAAATAATAACAATAATGATTTTACTGAATAATTTAAATCATGTAAAAAGTTTTTTATTTTTTTTTATATTAAAAAATTATTTAATTTTTTAAAAAAGAAATTTTAAATTTTGAAAAAAATATTTTACCAATTTCTTTTGAATAATCAATTTAAGTTATTTAAGAAAATAATGACTTTATAAAGCTTTTAATAAATGAAATATAAAAACAAAAAGACAATTAATTAGATTTCTAATATTAAAATTAATAAGAAAAATAAAAATAACAAAATTTAAATAAAGAAAATACAAGATTATAAAATAAAATAATTATGTTATAAAATGAATATTAAATGGAATAAACAAAAGCAGATTCATATAAAAATGCACTAAAAGTCGAAAGAAAGAACTTAAAAGAATTCAAATAAATGAACGAATAAATAGAAATTTCATTAAGAAATAATTTAAAAGAAGAAAATGAAAGCTGGTAAATAACAATAAATTAAATAAAAGAATAAAATTAAAAAGAAATGATAAGATATTAACAAGAAGTTAATCTTTTAAAATAATAACTATATGATATAATAGAAAAAAATTATCTATGTAACTTTTATTTAAAAATAAAATATATTTAATTTTTTAATTTATAGATTTGTATAATTCAAAAAAAATAATATTAATAATACAAATGATATTGATTAATTAATTAAAGATTTATAGAATTTTAAAAATAGTTTAAATATTATTATCGAAAATAAATAAGTAAAAGCTAATTCAAGGATTAATTTTATTAATCCACCTTAAGAAAATACACTAAGAGTTTTATGAATAAAAATAAAATAAATGTATCTAAAAATAATATATTTTATTATTAAACAATTTAACCAATTATTTATTTATATAATATTTTTTTTTATGAAAAAATAAAAAAACGATATTTTAATATTCAAATATAAAATATTATTTATTTTAAAAAGATAATTAAATATGCAATGTTTAAGATTACTTTTAATTGATTTTTTAAGAATTGTTTTTTTAAAAACTTTTTGTTATTTTTTGTTTTTTAAATAATAAATTTTAATAAATATTATTTACTTTTTTATAAATTTAATTTAATTTTATTAATTATTTAAAAATAAATAAATTATATTATTAGGACTCTAACGATTGAAATTGGGTATATTCATCATTGAGAAATTAATTTTTTAAATGATTTTTTTAAAGATATTCATTTTAATATTTATTTAAATACTTACTATAATTATGATAATATTAACCAATTTAAAAAATATTAATTAAAAATTTTAAATTAATTAATTTTATATCTATATAAATATTTTAAAGAATTATTTTTATTAAAATTTATTTATTTTTAAGGAATAAAGAACACTTTAATTCATAAATTCTTAAATTAATCATTAATTTTATTTAACAAATTTATTATATTTTTTTAAATATGAGAAAAATATAAATTTAATTTCTAAAAAATGCTAAATTATACATATATTAATTAATTACCTTTTTATAAAAAAAAATAATAATATAAAATTCATTTAGCAAATGTTATTTTAAGTTAATGCTTTTTATATAAAAATGTGATTTTGATATAATTTAGATTCGATTTTTTTTTTATTTATTTAGAGTCTTATAATACTGATAGTATTTCTTTTAATTTTTTAAATTTAAAACTTTAAATTATTTAATACGATTTTTTATTTAAATGAATGTATTTTTTTCTATTTAATTAATTTTTAATTTTAAATATATTTTATAATTAATTTTGTTGCTGCTTCTGCTTTATTTAATTTTACAATTTTTCATATTGTTTTGTCATATAAAATTTCACATTAATCTTATTAAATAAAGATTAAATTTGATAATCTTTTTATTTTTTTCATATATATAAAACAATTTATATTTAATTATAATTAACGCAGAAATTTTTTAATTATTTTCAGATTTTTTTATTTCAAAAATAATTCCTATAAGTATTTATTTTTGCAAGAATAAATAAGCATTTTTTATTTTAAAAAAAGCCTAAAATTTTTAAGAAAAAAACTACATTAATTATATATATATTTTTATTTTTTTAATTAAAGAATATAATAATTATAAATTTGTGCAATTATCTTTTTAATAAATATTAACTTATTATTTTTGCATTATATTTTATATCAAGATGATAAAAAGTATTTTAATTATATATAATAAATAATAAATTTATAGTTATAGTTATTTTTTTGGAACAATACAATTTTATAAAAGTTTATTTTATTAATTAATATATATATAAGTATCTTAGTAAGATAATAAAATCTCCACAAATCAAAATTATAAATAAGAATTATTAAAAAAATAATGATAAAGTTAAAAATATATAATTTTGTATAATTTAAAATATGCACAATTTCATAAAAATATATAAACTTTTAAATTTTATTTTGTAATTTTTAAATTAAATACTTTAAAAGTTATAAATTATTGATTTAAATAAAATATAATTCGTCAAAATCATAAAATTATTTACTCATTATTATTTTTACTTATATTTTTATGATTCTTATATATGTAAACTAAATTAAAATTTAAAGTTTAGAAAAAAAGAAATAATAAATTTTATATAAATTTTTTAAGTACTTAAATTATTAATACACTTCTTATGTTTATTCTAAATTTCGACATTTAATATTAATATTCTATTATTAATCCTTAAAAATCTTTTTTTTTTTAGATAATATATATAATACAAAAATCAACAGATTAAAATTTACTCGATAATTAATTTTAATACTATTATCAATTAGAAAAATTTCAATAATATCGTTTGTCATTAAAATTTATAAAGAATTAATAGTTTCAAAATGTACAAAAAATTTATTAAATTAATTTTTTCTAAGTATCAAATCACATTTACTTAAAGAAAAATTATCATTTTACTTAAAGACATTAAAATATTTATAAAATTCTTTTAATGTTTTAAGTTCTTTGGATAATTTAGTATTTTTTTTCTATAAATTCTCATTAATTTTAATAGTATTTATTTAAAAATTAGAAAAAACCTTAGATATTACATTTTAGACAGAAATATATTTTCTACATTATTATATATTATTTATAAAACTTTTATCAGAAATAAAAGATTATATGACTCCTTCTTCATTAGCATTGATATTTTTTACATTTTCTTTCTTTTTTTTAATTAGTTAATAATCTACACTTTTAATTTTTAATGTATTTTATATACTTTATTTTGGAGTTAAAAATAAGTTTTTTTATAAATTATTTTCTTTGCGAGGAAAATAAGGACTATATGACATTGTATGAAATTTTTATTGAATATTGGAATTGCTTAAGTTTTATTTAAGTTTTTATTATTTTTAATAAGTTTATTATTATTTAGATATATAAAATATATTTTCTTGTTAAGAAAAAGGACTTGAATTCTAATTTAACTAATTCTTTATTATTTATTAATAAGACATATTTAAAAAAATATATTTATTTTTTTAATATAAATTATAATAATAATTAACAAAAGTATTTTATTTTTATTATTTTAAATAAATATAATTATTAATAATTTAAAATTAAAAAAACATATATTATTTTTTTGTTATTAAAAATAAAATAAAATAATAATATTATATATTGGCAATAATATCTAAAAAAATTAAAAAAATATTTAATTAAATGAATTACGGAGGTTATATTTTAACATAAATGATAATTAAATTTAAATAAATATAAAAATATAAGAATTTTAATTATATCAAAAAGTAAGAGATTTATTAAATCCTCCTTCAGAACACTTAGAAGAATTAAAAAAAACATTCAAATATTAAGAATAAGAATAGGACAAAACTGGCCTTTTTAAGATAATTAGTTTCTTTCAAATGACCAATCATTAGGTTTATAATTAAAAGGCCAAAATATAGTATGGAAACGAGCCTGTTAAATATATGAGAATTTTAAAATTTTCAATGAAAATTAAGAAGTAGAATTTATTAAACCAAGCTAAATAATAGATGATAAGTTAAAAAATTAAATGCAAAAAATATATTAACAAAAAAAGATATTTTATAAGCGCACTAAGTATTTTACTTTCCAAAACGGATTTAATAGTCAGAAACTTTGAAATAACTGAAGAAAACGAAGCAGGAATATATGGTTATTGGATAAATTCATGTAATAATAAAATAAAAATATAAAAAATAATAAATAAATAAAAGTCGGGAAATGGGATTTATTAGTTTTAGATGATAATTTTCCTACAAAAAATAATGAATATTGCATGTCATAATCTTCAAATGGAATTTGGATTAATATTATTGAAAAGGCATTAGCAAAAATGTATTCTTCTTATTAAGATTTACATGGAGGTTTTACAAATAATTGCTTAACTGATCTAACAGGAGCTCCTTCTGAATAAATTGAAGAGGGTGAGTTTTAGGCTTGGGGAGTCAATATTGATTCTTGGCTAAAAAGGGGGTTTTTAGTTTATGTGGAGAATAATAAAAATTTATAATCTTAAAATATATTATATAATTCAGGATATTCATTTGCTATTTTAGATATATATGATATCATTTCTATAAGTATTTTTTTTATTTTATTTTTCTTAAAATTAATTTTTTTTTTAAAAAAAAATAATAATAATAAAAGATACTACATTAGTAAAACTAAGATCTCCAATAAAAAATCTTATTTATGAAGATGGAGAATGGAATTCAAAATCATAAAAATGGACTGAATAAATAAAATAATAAATAAATTATGAATAAAGCTCTTAAATATTTTATATGTCATTATAAGAATTAAGAAATAATTTTGAATATTTAGGTAATTGTAGAACTCATGAAAATTATAAATTTAATGTAAAAATAAAAAAAAAGTGATATACATATATAAGAAAAAAATAGTGGATATGTATTAATCATTAAAATTCAAAAGAAAGCTTAATAAAATTTACAGTTTCTCAAAAAAACCATATGTATATATTAATTTAGTAAAAAGACGAGAAAATAATATCGAAATAAAATCCTAATTTTATTTATCCGTATTCAAGAATATTAGTTGCCAAAATTACTGAAAATGAAACATTTTAATATATAGCAGGAAATTATTTAAATAATCGAGACTAGTTTATAAATGATGTTTTTGAAGAAGGTGAATACATTATAACAATAGAAATTTATTGGATGTAAATAAATAATAAAGATTTTACTATTAAGTTTTATGGATAAGAAGTTCCTTAAGTTGTATAAGTTATCGATTTTGAATAAAATGATTTTTTAGAGATATAAAAATAGATTTTATCTGATTATGCTATTAATTATCCTTAAATTAATTAAACTTAAAGAGATTATACCAAAAATTAATAACCTAATATTAGAGTATTGAGCAATAGTATGTTTGGAATTTTATATTTTTATTATTAAAATAAAGGAAATTAAGTTTTATACGAAAAAGTAAAATTTAAAAATAAATATACTAAAATAAAAAATATTTCAAGTTTCTTATTTAAGTATATTAATAAAATACTATAGAAATTATATAATATATCTATAATTTTTATTTAATATATATATTCCATAAAAAAAAATTCAATAAATTTATAATTATATAAAAAAAAGATAAAAATGACTGAATTAGAGAATCTTGTTATATAAAAACCTTATACAAATAACTACGAATACGAAGTTATTGTTTAACCTGGTGAAAATCAAATTGTTTTATATAAATATAATCCTTTAGGTGATAAAATATCTTTTAATTGTGAAATCAAAGCTAATTTATAAGAAGTTTAAATAAAAGCTGTTTACGATTTATATGGATATTAAAATGATCTATAAGAATAAATATAGTATTTTTTTTTATTTATTTTTCCTATTTTTAATAAAAAATAGAGAAAACTAAATGGGAAATTCAAAATGTAATAAAGGAAACATTTTAAGAGGATCCAAACTTTAAAATATGTTATAAAAAAAAGAGTCTGATTAAAATGAAGAATAAATATAATAATAATTCACAGTTGTTGATTTAATAAGATTTATGAGAGAAACTTGTACTCCTAATAAAAGAATTTGGGATGAAAAAGAAATTGATGTTTTTGTTTATTTTCATTAACATATAGATGGTGTTATTATCTTAGTTTAAAATTATGAAAGTTACGTCTATGAAGAATATAATACTTTAGAATTATAAAATCTTAGGCTTGAAAAGGAAGGAGATGATAAAGTAAATGTTGATTATGCGAATAATACACTTAGCTTTATTATTTAACCTTTTGAATATTAAATTTTATTTTTTGAGACTATTAATAAAAATGATCCTTATGGATTTAGACTTGGTACTTATTATAAATTTTACAATAAATGAATATTTTTTTTATAGTCTATTTGTTTATTTATTTATTATAATTTATTATTTTTTTATTTTTTTTCAAAAAAAAAAAAAATTAATATTGGATATATTTTAATTTTTTATTTTATTTATAATTAAAAAAAAAAAAAAATGAACGATTAATAAGAATTTTAATCATATGGAACGCAAGAAGTATTTTTTTAATCTAAAAATTAATTTAATAAGTAATAAGGATTGCTCAGAAGAATCATACATTAAACAAAATAATTATACATAGCAAGTGTTAGATGTTAATAATATTTAGGATTAAAATTAATAAAAGTAAAATTTCGTAAAGGATGAAGAAAATCCTTAGACATAAAATAGTTTATAATAAAGACTATAAAAATCTAATTTTCAATTAATAGATTTGTTAAAATTCGAGTATTAATAAAAACTGGATTACCTATATATATAATATATATTTTTATTTTTTATAAGGTTTTATCAACAATTTTTTAATGTTACTACAAAAGAAGTATAATAAAAAATAATTAGAAGCATAATTTACAGACCAAATTAATCTGATGCATAATAAATTGATTATTAAGAATTGTATCTAATAAATAAATAGAATATAAATATATTAAAAATATATTTTAATTAGTTATGGACCATTCTGGATTTCGACTACATTAATATTTATGCTTTATGCTTGTGCAAATTTATCTTTCTATATATAGGTTTTTTTTTTTTTAGGCAATATATTTTTTTTTGAAAATTTAAAAAGGAACCATTAAATTATAAAGTTAAATTTGGATTAATACCAACAGCTTTTACAATCGTTTACTTGATGCTTATTGGAATTCCTATTTTATTATCTTTTTTAATTAATTTTTATGGGGGAAGTTCTACATTTATTGATGTCTTTTTTAATTTATTATTTATTTAATTTAATTTTTTAATTATTTATAATATTAGATGATTTGTATTTATGGATATTCAATGTGTAGCTTTATTATTGCAAGTTTTTTTAATATTTTCCCTTTTTTTGTAATTAAAAACTTATATGTGTTTTTGGTATATCTTTAATTAAAAAATAAATAAAAAATAGTTAATTAAATTATTTTCTCATTTATACGGATTATCTAACTCTTGCTTTTTTATAATATATAATCTAAAATAGTAAAATTAATAAAATTAATTTTTATTTTTATTATTTAAAGAAATTTAAATGGAGTTTAAAATGAAAAAAAAATTATTGTTGCTGGAATGATTATTGGCTCATAAATTATTTTTACTTTAATATAATTTTTTTATTTTTTTTGAATGAAATTGAATAAAAAATATAAATAAAAAAATAAATATATTAAAATAGAATTATTCTAATAAAAAAAGTATTTAATGAATTTGCTATATTTAAGTCTATATTTGAAATAATTTAATTATTTTCATATTATTGATTAAAATAATCTAATTATTTTCATATTATTATTATAAATAATTTAATTATTTTCATATTATTATTATAAATAATTTAATTAATTCAATTATTATATTTATTTCTAAAAATGTACTATGTAAATTTTTATATTGATTAAATAATTTTATAATAAAAACCTTAATTATATTATTGTAAGTATTAAAAATTAAAATAAATAAAAAACGAAATTATAATAGTAATAAGCATTATTTAAACAATAAAATAAATTTATAAATTATTAAATAAATTTATTCATAAAAAAAAAATGCTAAACAAAAAATAACTCTACTAAATATAAAATGAATTTAATCTAAATCAAATAATAAATTACTCTGATTAATCTTAATATTAGAAATTAAATATTATGCTATCAAAGCTATAATAAACAAAGAAATAACAATATAAAATAAACGATTTCTAAAACTAAAAATAATAATTTTCATTAGTTAACTCTTTTTCAAGTATAAAAGAATAAAAAAAATTAAAATAATAATATAGAAATAACTTAAAATTTTAAGCATAAAAAAACTAAATAAACGAAATTAATTCATCGTTAAAAACTAAATTTCAAAATAAAAGTCAGGAAACAAAATTTACCCATAAATAAGAATAATAAAATTAAATTGAATAAATAAAATATATATAAAACATGAATATATAATCTAATAGAAGTGCAATGAGATAAAAAAAAATATATATTCGTATATAAAATAAAGATTATTCATAATAAATAACAATGCTTTTAAATTAAAAAACTAAATAAATAATTCTTCAATAACATAAATTTAGTATCTTAAAATTTACAAATATTTGAAAAAAAACACAAGAAAAATTAAATAATAAAAATAGTTCGTAATATACTTAGTCTTAAATTAAAATTTAAAAAGAAAATTAAACAAAAAGATTAATTGAATTTAATAAAAAATAATTACATAAATAATTTACTAAGTAAAAAAATAAAAAACAACAATAATAATATGAAGAATTTTAAAAGAAATAGTCTAATAGAACCCAATTTTTTAATTGATAAATAATAAAATTTATTAAGGTAAATTATAATCAAAAACGATATGGGGAATAATCCTTAAAAAATTAAATTAAATACAGATAAAAATAAACAAGAGAATAAATACTAAACCTTATAAAATATAAAAGAGTTAATTGAAAAAACAAAATTATAATAAAATAAAAATAAAGTTTAGGAAAATATTTCAGAATATACAATATAAGAAATTGATTTAAGTTATAAAGATTATAATAAAATAGCTTAAATAGTACTAGACCTTAAACTTCTTATCAATAAATTGATTTTTTGAAAAAAAAAATTAATATAAATTAATTTTAGAAAAGAAATGTTAATATAAAATCTTTTTCGAATATTGATGAATAAGATATTAAAGTATAAGAAGATATTCGTTTTAATAAAAAAACTAAAAAATTAAACTTTAATTAAGTTTAAGAAAAAATAGTTTTTAATAATATTATAAATAATAAATAATAATAGTAACTTTATTTCAATTAAAATTAATTTTCTCCTTGGGAAGTTATTTAAAATTATAATTAATAATTACCTTATTATTCTTCAGATTTAATATCATGAAATATTGAAGATTTAAACAAAATAATATATATATATTTTTCTTTTTCTTTTATTAAATTAATTTTACTCATATATATATTTATTATGTTTCTGTACTTATTTATTTTAATTATAATATTATTTTGTTTAATTTGTTTTTCATTTTACAAAAAAATATAAAAGATATCACAATAATTTTACATATTTTACAAGATTTTTAGTTTTTTTACTAACGATCCATCTTCCTAATTTATGTTCATCACCTTATGTATCTTAATTATAATATATATTTAATAAAAATAAAATAATTTTAAATTACAAGCTAAATAATTGCAATCAATAGAAATTTTAATATCATTTATTATTCCTTCCTTTTAAAAAAATAAAACATAGAAATATAATAATTAATTACGCAAGGAATCGAATATAATTTATCAAATTTTTTATCTTGTAGAGATAATTTATAAACATTAATTTATTAATTATATGATCCAGAACAAAAGAAGTCAGTATTATATATATTACCCTAAACTTAAAAAATGAATAAAGAAATAAAAAAAAAGAAAAGAAAGATAAATAAGAAAATATATATATATAAATATTAAAAAAAAAATACAATTGAAGTAATCCAATAACCACCGTGTGCATTTTGCAAGATATAAACAGGTTTTTTTTTCTTTATAAACCATAATCCAATATTTCCATCTTGACTTCCAGTTATGAAATATTCTTAATTTATTGCTTTTACAATGTCAATAGAAAAGTCATGTCCTTCATAAACTAATTAAGATTATTATTCAGTCTAGTTTTTAGAATTTAATTTTTATTATCAAAAATAAAATAAAATTACTTTCCATATAATAACTTATCTGTCAAACCCAGAACTTATAAAATGTTCTGCTGTAATTGCGTCTATATAATTAACATCACCTTTATGTCCAAAAAAGGTATCTAAAAATACTTTTTCGGAAGCATCCCACATTTTAAATTGTAAATCAGCAGAAACAGAACAAAATATGTTTGAATTAATTCCAAACTTTACACCAATAACAGCTTATCGGTGTCCTGTTAAAGTCTTCAAGAGACTCATTTTTTGTAAATCCCAAATTTTAATTGTTTTATCTTTACTTCCTGAAATTAAATATTTACTAAGATGATTTATTGATATTGAATAAATCTAAAAGAAAAAAAATATATATATATATTTTTTTTTCTTTTTTAAAATAAAAAAAAAAAATATACTTCATCTTTATGACTCTCAGTAGTTTTTTCTCTTACTAAAAATATTTTTTCATTATTATTTTTTAAATCCCATTTTATAATAGAAGCGTCTTTAGAAGCTGTATATAAATATTAACCAGAAGGACAAAATTCAATACAAGTTATACATCTTTTATGTCCTTTTAAAGTATTGAAACTATATGATTAATTATTAGTTTACCAATTTTTATAAACCTTTTTTTTTTTTTTTGGGGTGGGGGGGGGGGATAAAAAAATAAAGAAAAATGAATAAAAATACTTAATCTATATAATGTGTATAAAATAATTGTCTTTTCTTCAAAATTTCATTTTATAAAGCTTTTGTTATTGCATCTGTTGTTGTTTTATCGCCTTTATGAACTCCTACAAATGAATCATTATCACTTTATTTATCTTCTCCATCATCAAATGAATCATCAGTTTAATCTGGAAAATCGCCAGTCTTTTTTTAGTTTTACTTTTTTGCTTTATTTAATATTTATTAGGCTAATCTTAATCTTTTTCTTTCAGCTGTTTCTTCTTCTTCTTGATCTTTTTTTTTTTTAATAGTTTTTATAACTTTAATTTTTTATTTTAATGTACCTTCTTATATACTTTTTTAATTTAAATCAGAAACTGATTGTGAATCAATTTCATCAGAATCTATTTCTTCATTATTTGGATCTTCTTTTTCTTGTTTTTTATTTTTTTTGTTCAATTGTTTGCCATTTGTTAATTTAAATTTCTTATTCTACATTTATTTGATATATAAAAGTATATTTTTTTATTTATTTTTACAGGTTACTATTCAAATTTACTTTTGTTATTTTATTTTCTTATTTATTTTCTTTAAGTTATCATATTTTTTTTTTTTCTTCTACTTTTTTTATTTTTATATTTCTTTTTTGGTCTATATGTTTTTTTTTTGATTTTTTTTTTTTTTTTTTTTCTAAAAAAGTGTGATTTTAATTTAAGCTTTATTTTAATTTTATATTTTTTTATTTAAGCAAATATAAAAACATTATTAAATTAATGACTAAAAAAAATAATTAATTATAAAAAAAAAATGAATTATTATATAATATAAAGAATAAAAATTGGTGAAATAGTATTTATTATCTCATATTATTTTGAAAACTTTTTACATTTATTAAATAATATATTATATTTTTTATTTCATATTTAATTTTTTTATTTACTTACAATTAAAATTTCGAATATAAAAAAAGGAAAAAAAAAAAAATTCATAAAAAGAATGTCTTATTGCGTTTAATGTCCATTTTTATTTTATTTATTTAATGTAAAATTAGTAAATATATTATTAAATTATAATTTTATTAAGATTTTTTTTATTTTTTTTAAAAAAGAAATTTATTTATTAAAAATTTATTAATAAATTTATTTTATTTTTTTCTTTATTTTTTTAAATAAATTAATTTAAAATATTTAAATAATATTTAATAAAAAATTCAAAAATCAAAATAATTAAACACCTAAAAATATAAAAAATCATTAAACAAAAAGTAAAAATATTAAACTTAAGCAAAAACAAAAAAAGTCTTATTAAACTATTAATGAAAATCGAAAATGAAAACCACGAACATAAAGTCAATAATCATAACAAAAGCTTATAATAAATAAAGAAAAGAAATAATAAAAATTCCTAAAAAAAATACTCATGTGGATGTGGTAAAACCTATCTAAGTTATCCTGCATTATATACACATTTAAAATAAAAACATGGTGGAGCAAACCCAAAAGATTAATTAAACTAGAATAAAAAACTATATAAAGTAACAAATTAAAATCTAATATACTAATAATAAGATTATATATATATATATATATTTCTTTTTTATAAAATTAAACTATAAACAAAACAAAAAAAGTTAAAGTAGAAAAGCTAAAAAAACAATTTTAATCAAAATTAAAAGAATGTAAAAATCTAAAAATAATAATAAAATATTGATGAAGAGGATTAAATAATGAACTAAATTTCATGTTTTTTAAAAAAAATAAAACCTATAAGTATGTATAAAATAATGTAAAAAATAAATAAAAAATATATATTAATAAATTTAATATTGTATCTGTAAAAAAAATAGAAATTTTAATAAAATACATTAGAATAAATAATGTCAATATTTCCAAAAAATTATTTTAAATATAAATAAGACTTTAAATCTTTATAAGAAGTTCTTTAATATTTAATAGCTTAAATAGATAAAAAAACAAATAATCAATCTGAAAGAAAAAACTTTATAAATTAAATAAAAAATTATTAAATTAATGATAAAACAAACGATTTATATACTTTAAGTATAAATAATATAATTAGTATTTATATTCTTTAAATCTCTTTTTATTTTCATGATTCTTAGTTTTTGACTGAGCTTATCATTTTCTAGATTTTACTTTAAAAAGCTTTAAATAATTATGGGTGGGATTATTGCTAAAGTTTAATTTAAAATAATTCTTCTCAATCAATATTTTTATAACCCAAAAATAGGCAAAATTAAAATATAAAATAAGATGATGATTAAATTAATACAAATGATGATGAGTTCGTATTATTTGGTAAAGAGAATTACGAAAATTTTGATATTTATAGTTAAAATGGTAATAACTTTGAATAAACTCATAACTAATTTGAATTTTGTGATATTAATAATGGTTTTCATATTGTTTAAATTGCCAATTTTTTCGTTAGTGATATTTACCCTTTATATTTTGAATAACTACTCTAAAATTAATAATAATTCAAGTATTTGGGAAACAATTAGCAAGGTATAAAAAATGTTTATTTTTTTCTATTCTTTTTTATAAATTGGATGTATGTAAATAAATATTCTGATGCTAAAATAGAATTTAATTTATAAGAAAATGAACATAATAATAAAAATTATAATAGTACAAATAATAATAATAATAATAATGTATAAAAATCTGATATAAATAAAAATTAGAAATAATAATAATAATATTATTATAATGGTCATAATATTAATAATTAAAATTTCTAAGATAATTAATATAAAAATAATGATTTTAATTAATTAAATAAAACAATTTATTTAAATAATATTTAACCTTTATCTAGTAATTAAATTATTAATTATTAAAATAGCTTTTAAGAAATTAATTAATATAATCATGTATAAAACTTTAGAAATAATAAGTTCTGAATAAAAATATTCATATATTGTCCATTTTATAAAGAATTGGTATTTCTGCTTTTTTTTTTTTAATTATATACTATTTTTATTTTTCGTATTTATAAAATCATTTAATTTATATATTTTATATATTTATAGTAATATTTTAATTTTATTTTTATAAATAAAGTAATTATATAAGAATATATAATTTTAGGAATATATACACAGTTTTATAGATTTATTTAATATTATTATAGTTATTTTAATAATATTTTTTTTTATATAAAATAATACAATTATATATCATTTTATAATTACATAAAAAAAGTATTTTTTTCTTATTATAAATTATCAAACTTCTTATCTAATTGTCTATCTAAATAACTTATTATAAATATTTATTAAAACATTTGATTATAAGTTTTTATTTTTATTTAAAAATGATTTTATTATTTTATTTAATTTAAAAAAGAATAAATATAATAATTATAAGAAATATTTTTTTTTTGTATATAATATTTATTAAATATAAAACTTAACATTTTACTTAAAATATATATAGATATAATTATTATATTTATTTATATAATATTATAAACATTTTTACTAAAATATATATATGTTAATAATTTTTTTGTTTGTTAGTTAGTTAATTAACTATATTTAACAATTTATGTATATATATTTTTTTTAAATTATCAATTTTTTGTTTCTTATTTTTATTCTTCGTTTATTTGTTTTAATGCTTATTTCAATTCAAAGACAATATTCTTTTTTACACTTTATTAAAGATTAAAGCCTACATAAAATAAAAATATTAAAATTATTAGTATTTAAATTAAACAGTATTAAAGTGGATTAAATTCTCGTATTTAATTCTATTTAAAAGTTAAATATATATATTTTTTTTTAAAAAAAAACAAATATTTTACATTCAAAGGGAAAATCCATGAATTATCTCTAATAAGTTAATATAAAAATGAATTATTTTTTCTTTAAGTATGAAAAAATGATACTAAGAGATTGCATAAAATATTAACTAAAACCATAAAAACAGGAAATATAAATGAAATAGGAAATATTGTAGTTATTATTGTTTTTATTGCAGAGATCATTTTTGAAGATTTTTATTTATTTTTTTAATTATTTTTTAAATAAAATAAATAAATAATTTCATTTAAGATATAATATATAAAAACAAAAAAAAAGTTTTTTAGGAAAATAAAAATTATTAATAAATACAATTTTATATATAGTAATATATTTTTAATACAAGTAACACTTAGTAAAAACTTAATTTTTGTTTTTCATATCTAACAATTATTAACAATAAAGTATTTATTAGACTAAAATAAATTTAAACATACAAAAAATTAGAGTAAGATTAATTATAAAAAATATTTAAAGTATAATAAATAAGAAATATCTATAAAAATTTAAATAAACAACTAAAAATATATTAAAAAAAATACATTTTTTATAAAACATTAAATATTTTTTATATAAAAAAATAAATAATCATTTCTTTTTATTTTATTTTCTGTTGCTTTTGCTTCCTTTAATTTCAACTTTTTAGAATTCTAAAAATAATAAAATATTAATTAAAAGTTTATTTTTTTATTTGTTTTTTTTTACAAGTTGGGATGGCATCTTTAATACCCTTTACTATTTTTTAATCAGGAGTTTTAAAAGTGTATAAGTATTTTTTGCCTCTAAGCTTGAATTTTGTGATTCTTTTTCCATACTTAATGTAAACGACTAATATTTTTTTTATTTTTATCAATTTTATAAACTAATTATTTTATTTAAAAATTTACCTTTTTTGGTTCCTGTACTTTAGGTTTCTTTGCTACTTTACCAAAGCTTCATAAATTTTTTAATATCAGTAACTTCCTTAGGCTTTTTTTATATTAAATTTAATATTTAATTTTATAAAATGAATTAGAATTTACCATTTTTTCTTATTTAATTTTTTGATTAGTTTTTTTTTTATTTTAATTAATTATTTAATTTTATTTCTTTAATTTTTTATATCTTTTGCTTATAATATAACTTTTAATAAATATAGCTTAATATCTAAAATATCCTTCGATAAAATTATATTTAAAAACAATAATAACAAATAAAATAAATGTATATATATTTAAATAATTTAATATTATTAATATTTTTTATGCAAAAAAAAATAAATATAAATTTAAACATTTTTTAAATTTAAATTAAAAAATATTGTAAATAAAAAAAAAAATACAAATTTTATTTATTTTCAATTTATAAACAGAATAAGAAAAATAAATAAAAATAATTAAAAATAAATTAATATATAATTATATAATATATCTATAATTTTTAATTATTCATATTTTACTATTTCATATATAATAAATTAAGTTTTTATAAAATCTTTCATTTTCTAAATTAATTTAAGTTTATTGTACATATGTTTTATTCTGTATTTTTAAAAAATTATTAACTTATATCTTGAATATTATTATTTTTATTTTAGTTATAATAATCTATATTTTTTATATTATTATTTATATTAACTTTTTTATATAAATAGTTTTTCATTTATTTTTAAAGTATTTTATTT